TGCGTAGTTTTAAAGATTTAAGCATACATAGGAACGGACAGACGGCGACAGCGACTTTGTTTTATACTATGTAATGAAAAGATTAAGACATGATGTGATGTCTAAGCTACATTACTGAAATGTTTCATTAAAATCCGTTCAGTAGTTTATGTGTGATAGAGCAACATACATCCATCCATTCAACTATCTATCCATACTCACAAACTTTGGTGTTTATAACATTAGTAAGGTAGGAAGGTGTGTCTATCTTTTTAGCTTTTAGCTACTAAACGGTTGAAAGAATTTTGATTTTTGTCAATATTTTTGATTTTGACGTTGTATCCCGCGGATAACCTATACATATAAATAAAATTGGTGTGTCTGTTTGTAATATTGAAAAAACAGTTTTTTATTACATGCATATGAATATAAATACGGTATATACACCAATATAACATTTTTTTACAATTGTCTGTCTGTCTGTTTGTTCCGGCTAATCTCTGAAATGGCTGGACCGATTTTGACGGGACTTTTATTGGGAGGTAGCTAATGTATTAAGGAGTAACTTAGGCTACTTTTATTTTAGAAAAAGTAAAGTTAAATTCCACTCGGACGAAGTCGCGTGTACGGCTAGTTTAAAGTAAACTTGATTTTCTTATAATTGACTTGACAAATAAATAAAAATTGAAGAGTCTCTTTGTAATTACTAATTCATAACTTTTCACTGAATTATCATATTATGATAAGTCTCTAGATAAATGTAAGAATAAAAAAAACTTCACTAAATGCATATGAAAATAATGATAATAAAATGCCTGTCTGTTCTTTTGATCTTGCTAATATCTGAAATGAGATAATGGCTGAACCGATTTTGACGGGTCTTTCACTTGCAGATAGTTAAGTCACATAGGGTTACTTTTATTTTACTTTTATTTTAAATAATTTAATATTTTATTTAAAAATTATGGACATATGTCAAATAGATATATTTCATATTACAAATATTCACACGGGTGTACATGTATTCTACATATAAACCTTCCTTTTGAATCACTCTATCTATTAAAAATCACTTGCGTAGTTTTAAAGATTTAAGCATAGGTACATTGGGACGGATAGACAGCGATAGTGACTTTGTTTTATACTATGTAATGATGAAGAAAATAATTAAATTCCTCGCTGACCTAACACTTTTATTTTAGATATAGTTATTTTAATTAAAAAAAGTTAAATACCACATGATCGTTACAAGTAACAACTAGTGAATCATCATCTCAGCCCGGAAGATGTCCACTGCTGGACATAGGCCTCCTCTAAAGATCTCCACGACGATCGGTCCTGCGCTGCTCGCATCCAATGCATTCCGATCTTGACCAGATTGTCGGTCACCTTGCTGGAGGCCTTCCCACGCTGCATCTTACGGTCCGTGGTCGCCACTCAAGGACTTTACTGCCCCAACGGCCATCTGTCCTACGAGCTATGTGCTTTGACCATTGCCACTTCAGTTTTGAAATTCTTCGGGCTATGTCACTCTGGTTCTTCTGCGGATCTCCTCATTTCTGATTCGATCACGCAGATACTCGGAGCATAGCCCTCTAGAGTGACTTTGAGATTATTCATGAGGCCCATAGTTAGCGACCACGTCTAAGTGTGGTATGTCGTAACTAGAAATGTTGTTTGTTGTATACTGCCGAAGTAGATGCGTTTCGAGATGTGCTAACTCGTAATAAAACTGACTCGAGATAACTCGAGTTGAAATTCAGGTAACTCGAGTTAACTCGAGTCAACTCGAGTTACCTGGAATTAACAGTTTTTTTTAAATTTTCGAACAATTCTAATGTTTTTGGCCGCAGCTAGCCTTGAAAGCTTTACCGAACCATAGAGGGCGAATAGAAATGGCACTTAAAGCCGCGGAAGGGACTTATGGAACGTAGCATGGCTGTAGGTCAACTTCTCCTATTTGAGTGCATTTTTTTAATATGATTCAATAAGGAGCTCGTGTTTCCTACATATTTAAAATGAATCCGAGCAATTTTTACATTTTACTCTTCTACTCACTGGCGATTCGAAAAAAATAAGTAATTTCCTCTTAAATCCCGGTATACATAAAAATATACTACAGAATTCTTCCAACTCGAGTTGGCAGAATTCAACTCGAGTTAACTCGTATTCTGCGTAACTCGAGTTAGTAACTCGAGTTGACACATCTCTAGATGCGGTAGTATAGTACGTCTTTAAATATATTTTCCATCATTCACACATATAAATGCTCGAGTCGATGATCTCGTGACTAGAAATAGATTGCGGCAGTCCAAACTTGTCTATACACTTTTCATAGCAACTCGTCTCTCTGAAACCCATTACCATACCCATTGCCGAATTTATCTTAAACTAGCTGTTCCCGTGACTTCGTCCGCGTGGAAATTAACTTTAATTTTCTAAAATAAAAGTAGCCAAAGTTACTCCTTATTAAATCAGCTACCTGCCAAAAAAAGTCCAGCTAGTTCAGAGATTAGCCGGAACAAACAGACAGAGAGACAAAAATTGTAAAAAATATTATTTTGGTGTATGTATCATATTTATATTCATATGCATGTAGACGGTTATTTCAATATTACAAACAGACACTCCAATTTTATTTATGTATAGATATAAAATTCTCGTGTCACAATGTTAGTTACATACTCCTCCAAAACGGCTTGACGGATTTTTATGAAATTTTATATGCATATTCTCTAGGTCTGAGAGTCGGCTACAATCTATTTTTCATACCCCTAAATGATAAGGGTCCACCCCTAACATTTTTTTTATTTTTTTATAAATGGGTATTAAAAATTCATACAACCCTAAATTTTCACCCTTCTATCACCAATCCCTATTTTTTTACTTTAATTTATATAGCAAAACAACGTTTGGGTCAGCTAGTATTTTTATATAAATCCGGTAATTATAGATAATGACATCCGCTTGCATCTACGGTTTACACTGGCGGGGCACCAGTGGAGGATGATAAGATGAGCATGAGGTCAGGTCAGTTAGCACATCAAGGTAAATTCACCAGGAATTTATAAAAATGGTGTCCAGGGGGAACTGCGTAGAGATCACACTGACATAGTACATTACTAGTAATGGCTTCGTTAGTACTTCAATAGTAACATTCCACTTCTCCTTGAAAATTGACATCTGTTTTGTCTGTTGCATTTCAGAAATGACAAAATGTGTGAAACTAATTCTAAAGACCTTAAGTAGTTTACATATGTACCACATTTTAAGCAATAAATTTTCATTTCAGTTCATTTCCTAGCTTGCTGTGTTGCGGGTGCTCATAACGGTAATCACTTACCATCAGGCTGGTCGCAATCTCGTTTGCCCCTATACCATAAAAATTAACCAAAATAAATGATACATTAACATGGAAAAATCACCATTGTTAATTTATATTGTAGATGTAATTTTATATACATCACAGAAGACCGAAGAACTGGCAGCTACCTTGGACAAAGAATTAGTCTAGCTATTCAAAGAGGGAACGCTGCCAGTATCTTCGGAACGTTGCCTAAAGGGACCCCTTTTAATAATATATTTTAGTTATCATATTATATTTTTTTTAAGCTTTTTAATTTTAGGTTCTTAATTGTATAATTAGGTTATGTAAATACTAGCACAGATAACATAATACTAGTAATAAATATATACATATAATTATCTATAGATACTAATATTACAACGTAGTAAAATTCGTATTTTGATAGTAAAGTCCGGTACTATTTTATATGTATGTAGGTAAATGTGAAATAAAAAAATATGAGGAATTAATTAAGGAATACGAAGATTTTTATGTATGAACGATTGTCATGAAGTTGAAGTATAAACAAAATCTACAATAACAGAACTATAAACTTAAATACATAAGAATTAAAATACATTTCTGATTAGTTAGTACAGTATACAATAATTTATAACTAGCCTTTCAAATTTTGATGTTCAAAGTATATACTAGTATGTAAGGTATAATAAACAAAAGCGCCTACGTTCCTTTCCCACGCGTTGGAAATTGTAAAAAAATCAAATTTCATAGGTCACAGTTCAGAAAAGGCCATATATATACTTACATGTATATTATGTGGGTATATTTAATAAACTGTAATTAAGTAATATGTATATATTATAGTACGTATATATAATAGTTCCTCCTCCGATCGATGCCAGGTCCTATTCAAACGGGGATCGAAATTACGACGACCTGAGCCGACTTTAGACACCCTTTTTTCTGTCGTATGTTTTCCATGTATAGAAAAAAGGGGACATTCTTTGGAAGATTTTTCCTCGTCACTTCTCTAGGTTGGGGAGTGGGGGAAGTACTTTGGACGGAAGTAGAGATGTGACGAGGGGGTGTGAGGAATTCTTCCACCCTAAAAAACGCGGTGTACTTATGAGTGCCATTGCCGAAGGTCGTGTTAGAATTCTACCGCGACTTCGGCCGGAGGATCGGAGCCTAGCGGTGCCTACAGGCTAAAGTTGTATGTTTACTACATTTCATCGGGCTCATACTACATAGGGCCGTCTTTCACCTATTAGAGGCCTTGGGCACATTAGGATAACGGAGCTCTTATGACCATAGTAAGAAAGCACTATTTTGTGACAATAGACAAAGTCGTTTTTGAACATGACTCTTCAGAGATGTATATGGGGAAGCCCTACCTTCAAAACAAACCAGGCAAACATAAATTTAAAAGGAAGAAGAACCGGTTCAATTTCTTGCAAGACATTTATAAAAAAAAATAACAAAAACGAACAAATTGACCATAGTCGGTAAGCATTTATTAAGACCGATTTTCAGGCGAGAGTAGAGTAGCTATTGGTTATCGTTTGGTAATGAAGTAGGGACTAGACTAGACTAGGGGGCTCCAATTCATGGGAGGACCCTGGGCACGTGTGCGTGCGTGTGCCCAGTGGGGAAGAGGGGTCTAGTTGGTTGGTTGGTTAATATTACTTGATATAAACTTTTTTTATTTTTGCAGGACACTTCCTATATCTCCCCGTGGATCCGACCATGGAGAACATGGTGATAAAGTCCCCACCCTTCAGGGGACTGTGGGAATTCTGTAAGGTAAGGATTTGTCTGTACTATATATACTTCATGGGTCATTATAATTTACGTCCATACTACGTAATTTTAATACCATAATTTAAATAATCAATGGCAAAATTATTATAATTTACAAAGCGGTACAATTATTAATTTAGAATACAATTTCGTGGTAGACCCATCATTTGACATTTCCACACGATTCTCTGGGTATATTGGACTTCAACATTTTAGGGGCTAGATCTCTAAATTTCTCTGGCCCAGCTGAATTTTTCAATTTGTTATCGGTGTTTCCAACTTAAGATCTTGAGTCAGAAATACATATATGTTGACAGGCGAAGATTTTGATGTCGACCAGTTTTAAACTCTAAGTCTAGGTAGTAAACTACAAATCTACGACGCTCTCGAATTAACAAAATAAATTCACCTTCTTCTCCAGTTTGAAGCGAAGCTGCATCAGAGTAAGATGCAGAATGCCAGTATAAGGCTGGTCTCCGAATCTACAATCTCTGAGGTGCAGTGGATTCTCCAGGAGATTACGGGGAACAACTTTGAAGTGTAAGTTTCAAACGTTTATATATTTTATGCGATTAAACATCATAGTTGTTATTTTGCGAAAGTACATATCCTTACTCAATGGTTTTGTATTATTTATTTAATTCCGTTACCATTAGCATGTGTGAGACTACAAATAGAACATGCGGAATCCTGATATTAAAAATTTTTTTGGGGTAGAATCATTTTTATCACTTAAGTACGAATAATATTATAGTTTATGTCTACTGAATATACACACAAAAATTCATAAAAATCAGTCAAACCGTTTCGGAGTTTTGATGTTAAATTTGATATTACATTTTTTGTTTTTTTTTTTATAAAAAAATATTATTATTTTTAAATAAAATGTATCCTATGCTCATTCTAATATCTCCAAGAACATGTGTACAAAATTTTATGATGATCCCTACTTTCACATTTATAATATTTGTAAGTATTGTCGCTATTTGAAGGGTATCTCAATGTCTTAAATTATAGAAACTCTAAGTTGGTTTTCTTTTGTGAATGATAATGTAATGGTGCACCCGCCTGCGCTAACGGTTTACGCTGGCGGAGTACCAATGGAGGATGATAAGATGAGCATGAGGTCAGGTTAGCCCATCGTGGCAAATTCACCAAGAATTTATCACGATGGTTTCCACGGAAAATCGCGTGGAGATCAACCTGACAACCTGTGGTACACTGCTAGCAATAAGATCATCAGTCCACATTACTAACGATCCCCTTTCCCCCCACTCTAAGTTGGTTACTTTTTCAGCTGGTACCCAATGAGGTTCATGATCGGCAAGGTCCAGCAAGAGGTGCGGATAATAATAGAGATCACGAGGCCGAACCACGTCAGCATATCGCAGACGTTGCCCCACATAGCCATAGACAATATCCGGATGGTAGAGTGTCTACCGGAGCCCCCCGTCTTTGATGGAGAATGCCAATATGGACAGCTGAAATGTAATATAATTAATGTGAGTATTATATTTATAATACTAGATTTTTTTAATAATAATAATGGAATGATACACTCGCCGGCGCTGGCGTTTTACGGCGGGGCGCCAGTGCAGTATGATAAGTTGAATGTAAGATGAGGTCAGATAGTTCATCATGACAAATTCATCAGGAATTTGTCATGATTGTTTCCTCCAGGGGAACCGCGTGGAGGTCAACCTGATATGGTACAATGCTAGCAATGGGGTTAACAATCCTCTTTCCCCTAAATATTAGATTTTAACCTAGAAACTTGTTTGAACGCGCGCGAATATGTGTGGGAAAAAATAGCGTGAGAAATCGTGAATCGCGGGTTATGGCGTATATTTAATGCGATTTCCCTTTCTTTTCAAATTATATTTTTATTCCACATATTTTATTTATTAAAGACAAGTTTACGATTTGTAAATTATCATTAACTCTATAATTATGTCTTTGCTTCATGGATAGATGTCAGCCATTTTGTAATATTAATTAATTATTACAAAAAGGCTCTAAAACAGGCGCGATTGAAGGACGCGGGAAAGCGCGATCTGACAGCGCCCGCGGTTTTTCTCGTTGTTTTTGTCTATATTTTCATGATCATTTTTTTCTGCGTGAAACTTGAATAGCGCGTCAAAGAGTGTACGTGTAAAGGCCGCTAATGTAGAAGAATCAAATCCGATTATACTTAATTACTTACTAATATACAGAAAAGTAGCTGTTTTTCGCTATTTAGTCTTTTTTTACTTCAACTAAACCACATAAGAGATTTGATACGTTTTTCATTATCATTTCAGGAATTTCTTCTGAAAGATTTATTTGTAAAATTCCTCCTAGACCTCCGTTATACATATACTGTGTACAATTTGTAGAAAATCGGTCTAATAAATTACTTAGTTTCACTATGTCTGTTACTAAATTGGTCTCTTTGATCTAACGGTTTAGCACACCGCCTTACTTTCTGATGGTTGCGGGTTCAATTCCATGCATGATGCCATACATTTGTAGATATTTATTAAATTACTATGTTACCAACAAAATTAATTAATACAATTTGCAGAAGGAGTCGTGTATAAAACTGCAGCAAGTGTGTGATTTAGTGAAAGACTGTGATGATGGTAGTGATGAAAACCAGAATTGTGGTACGTATATTTGTAATTGTCTAATATTTATTTTAGTAGTAGCCTCCAAAACAACACCGCCACCTACTGCGTCGAATTGTATTTTCAAGCTATCCAGGAAGCTATTGATAAACCACAAAATTTCGTCATAAACAGTCCAACCGTTTTGGAGGAGATTTAAATTATAATGTATAACAATATTTTTTAATTTAGTACAAAGTAAAAATATCATTAAAAGTATATTTTTTTACAGATAAAATGCCATTCGGATCATATTGTAATTTTGAACAAGATAATTGTGGATTCGAAGATGTACCTCAGTAAGTTTTTAAGAATATATTCATAATCATCAATTAAATTATATTTAATTTCTATATCATTAGTGAATAGAAGTGGACCTAAAATTAATCCCTGAGGAACTCCTGATTAGTCAGTCATTACTAACTTTAACATCATTGATTATATTTAGTTAATATTAAAAAGTCGATTAGAAGATTTACAACTATAATGCGAATAAGCGATAATATTTTTTTTTCAGACCAATTTTAAAATGGTCGAGACACAACGGGCCAACGCCTACTGATAAAACAGGACCGAACTACGATCACACCTGTGGTCCCTTAGACCTGTACCCTACGCAAGTGGTACCTCCTCTCTTCCCTGCTCACATGAATTATTCCCTGTCACAATGCGTGGGATATTATTTCTACGTGAACATGAACGTCACTGGACCCAACAAGGAGAAAGCTGACTTTGCTTCAACTGCCGTTATGAGAACTGTCGTTTTCAATCCACCTCCAAAAGTCCATGGGAATATAACTTCTAAATATTATAATTGTTGTATGGTATGTGTATCATCATTATTTTCTTATAATTAATTAAATGAATTACTTGTTTGTAATAGAAACTTTTATTTCTCTTAATGATGTTAAAATTGTAATTTACATTATCAACAGATAAGATTTTATTATCAACAAAATGGACGTAATTACGGGTCTCTCAGTGTGGATGTGGTAGAACTTACTACAAGAGGTAACATTACTACGTCTCTATGGTTTTCCACCAAGGACAAGGGCGAAAATTGGTATAGAGCTGCTATTTTCTTACCAAACGTTACTAGGAGGTAAGTTTTAAAAATATATTTTTGTAACAAATATACAATAGTAAACATAATGTGGTTATATTTCTTTACATTACCGTCTACATACGTTTACCTAATTTACCTAAATTTGGGTAAAATAAGTAGTATGACTGCAAAAGTTTACATTAATGTTTAGAATGCCAATAGAATCAATTTTACTTATATCGTAATTGAATTCCATTTTACTTATATCGTAAAAAATATTTATAATTAACTAAATTGTATTTATTTTAGGTATTATCTACAATTTAAGACCCGTATGGGAATGAGAATATACTCAGACTCAGCTATAGACGATTTTTCTATGGCTCCAGAATGTTTTGGGCTTAATATAGATCCTGACGAGTTAGGGGAATATAATTATTATGACCCTATATTTGAAGAGAAAACGACTCCGCACACTGCGTTTGCGGATAAAATATGTAAGTTTGTTGATCATTATGTTTTTTATAATAAAAAGATATTGTGGAAAGCTTTTGATACCATTGTAGTTGTGATAATTGCATACGCTGGTACTTTAAGAGTATCAACTTTGACTGAATCCTCGAAATTATGCTTATATGCTCATTTACTTGATGTTATTGAATGCAAAGAAGTTATAATTACATAATTTACCTCGTTATCTTTGGATCTTTTGTTTAGACTATCGTTTTTCGACCTGCGGTGCGACTGGTCGTTTTGGCCCCAATCAGACCATGTGCGACGCTGCGTACAACAACACTCCTGCTGCTGTGTCGGTGATACAGACCCCTCCATACCAGGGCATCCAAGTTTGGGAAGTACCTGCTGAAGGAATGTACACGTAAGTATAAATAAGATTAAGATTTCCACTTCTATAGCACATGCTCTTACCAAATTCCAAAGCTATGTACATACATGAAAATAAATATATATTTACGTCAATCACATAATAATAACACGGACGCGTAGCCAATTCTAAAGCTGTAGATGTAAATATTAATACTTGTTTTTCTTCAGGTTTATCGCCATAACTTGAGAAGGATTTTTATTTTTGTTCCTTCTTTTATATATCTTTCTCTATTTCTTTCTATTAAACAATAGAAAAAAGAAGAAGTAGAGAATCTATATGTACTTTATAAAAACAACGTTTTATATTTATACAACGAAAAATTGTATGAAAAAAATTGGATAATTTTAATAAATTTATCAATATTTTATTTCAATGCATTTGAACAATACCTGTCTGATCAGCTAGTATGAATCTATATGATTAATATTCAGACAGCGATATTTTGTCCCTGTATTTGATATTATTTTAGAACACAATAGATTTACTGAAATATCTTCCAAAAGGTATGCTGATTAAGAAATACAATCTCAAAAATACAATATCAAAAATCATCTCAATAAATTATTTCACAGTATAATCGCAACGGGTGCTTCTGGAGGGCTAGGGTCTGCCTGGGCTGGAGTATCACATGGAGCTCAAGCCCGGGGTCTGTTCGAGCTGCATCGCTCCGAACGACTGTACATGCTAGTCGGTCAGCAAGGTCTGAACGCTTGCAAGAAGGTGAGTTCCACAAACCAATCGGAAGAAGAACTACAAACGAAATAGGTTACAAATCAAAATTGTGTTTTCTTCTAAGGGTATGTCCCTTAGAAATTAGAATGTGTTGCTGTAGAAATAAGGTGTCTATGATAATTGTAGGCTTTTGCCAACAGCAATTACAATTTGATGTCAGATCATCCCATGTGACTTGTGGTTCCAATATTTTTTTTCTTTATAAAAATGTCAACTTAGAAACAAAAAACCAACTGCGTTTAAGAATGAACAAGATGAATGTAAAATGTGGGTCTTTAGCCTATCCTATGACAATAATAACCATAACCGTATGCAAAGTGACGATACGACATAACTAAACTATAGCATATGTCTCATCTACTCTGATTGTTTATCCTTAGACACTGTCAGCACAAGAGAGTCAGGAATGCTCAAGGAAGCAAAACGATTCGCAATTGGTGTTCACGAGCAAAACCCACGAAGTGAGGAACACTCAGGTGACAGACGGCGGAGGAGGTGGTGGCGGTGCCACTTATGTGTTCTTGGTGAGTATCCATCCTGGTATTGGTATATCTTCACAACAGTATGTAAACCTAGATGAGGTAGGCAGAAGTATTATCAACAATCAATATGATGTAAGAACAACAATTCGTATTTTATTAGAGCATAGATACAGACAACTTCGTATCATTAACGGTCTAGCGGTCTGGCACAACGCTTTACTATCGTTCATCGCGAATTCGATTCCTCGCACAAGGCAAATATTTGTAGTCATAAGTATGATTGTTTGTTTGTATCTGTTTTTTTATAAATAAATACATAGGTATTTATTTATAAAAAAAATATGTTTAAGTTTTTATGTCAGTTGTGGAGTATCCATAACATAAGCTTTGTTTAACTTGGAACTTGATGGCGCTGTGTAAATTTCCAAGGAAATAAATAAAGTCGTGTGTTTCGACTAAAGGATTTGTATCCATGGTCATGAATAAATTAAAAAAATATATATCTATGTCCATTTCGCAGCTGGACAAAGAGGGGCAAGCTCACCCGCTACTGGTAGGTGGCGGGGGTGGTGGAATATCGGTGGGCATCTTCCGAGATGACGGCTCGCAGCACGCGCGACCTCACACCAATGCCACGCCCGAGTCTGGTTACATGTATGGCAAGCCTGGTCGAACTTCAGGTAAAAATATCTTATTTATTTGAACACACATTAACTGTAGCTCTTACACGGCCGAATAGGCTTTTAAAGCAGCAAATAATGCGCATGTAAATGTAGACAATGAGGACGAGAAAGCTTCTTCAATCAAGCAAGAAGAATTAATCTCTTCAAGAAGATGGTTTCCTGTTTTTTAATAATAATAGATTTATTTATGAATAATATTATATTATGAAATGATGTTAGGTTTATAAAATTATAAACAAACTATTTCTTTGATTAACAGTTCTACTATATGAATTGATGTTGAGTTTTTTTTCGAACTATTTTAATGTTTTTGGCCTTAATTTGGACATAATGGGAGACACCATTATGGAGAGGTTGAAGGACGACTCTTGCCTGATGGATACGAATCTAGTACAAGGGCACCGCTTGGGGTTCGAACTTCGACTCGGGGCGTCGTAATTTCGTTCAAAATTTAAATGGGATAAGGGATCGACTTTAGGAGAGATCGACTTAGAGTGGCTGGTTAAATTTGGGGACACGTTACAGGTGCGGGAGGAGGATGGGTGGGGCGCGCGGGGCCCACCACGCCGGGGTTCGAGGAGGTGCGCGGGGCCGCCGTGCGCGAGGGGGCCGCGGGGGGCGCCGCCTGCGTGGGGGGCGCGCACGGGGGCTTCGGCGGCGGCGGCGGCGGGTGTCTGCGCGGCGGCGGCGGCGGAGGCTGGCTCGGTACGTACACTGTACCACACGCGAGGGGGCCGCGGGGGCGCCGCCTGCGTGGGGGGCGCGCACGGGGGCTTCGGCGGCGGCGGCGGCGGGTGTCTGCGCGGCGGCGGCGGCGGAGGCTGGCTCGGTACGTACACTGTACCACACGCGAGGGGGCCGCGGGGGGCGCCGCCTGCGTGGGGGGCGCGCACGGGGGCTTCGGCGGCGGCGGCGGCGGGTGTCTGCGCGGCGGCGGCGGCGGAGGCTGGCTCGGTACGTACACTGTACCACACGCGAGGGGGCCGCGGGGGGCGCCGCCATATATCATTTAAACATACGATTAATTAAATGTACTATAAATGAATTATTACTAAAATACAACTATAATATATATTAAAAAATTAGAAAAAAAATTAAAGTATGTATTGTTAGTTGCACTTTGATAACCTTTGCTTTCTAATTATCAGGTGGCAGCACTCACGAGAGCGAAGGGCAACACGGCGGCGGTGGCTGGTCCCATGTCGATGGAACTCGCGCGATCAGAGAGTTCAGTGAAGTGACCGTCGCGCCCCGGACTGGTCCGGGGGAAGTCCTGATTATACCCGCATATATCATTTAAACATATCGGATACTTTTTTAATTAAATGATCCTACTAAATGAAATTAGGCTTTAATTAAATAACGAGATCTTTATAATATATATTAAAAAATTACAGAAAAAAATTTTTTTTGTATTGTGTTTGTTAGTTGATTTCACGAGTTGATAAGCCTTGACTGTGAATAAATATGTTCTAATTATCAGGTGGCAGCACTAATTCACGAGAGAAAGATTGAGGCGTATTTTCCAAGCCTATACGGCGGTTTTGGATTTTGGCATATTCCCATGTCATGGATCTCGCGCGATCAGAGAGTTGAGTGAGGCGGTGTATGGATATTATGGTCCATAGCTTTACCGACCGAACAGACAGAGTTATTATCGCATTTATGATATTAGTAAGAACAACTAAAGATCTGGTTTAAATGATGGTGTATGTACGGGATTGTGGCTGTGACTACCGTTGCGTGGCGACCAATGAACACTGCAGCGTGGTCCGGTGTTACAGGCAGATAGACAGATTTACTTTTGCATTTATAATGTCAGTAAAGATATGAGTCTTTGTTTATTGAGGCTTTATTGTAAATAACGAGATCTTTCCATAGTATTGGGCTCGCCCTCATCGATATGTTACCAGTGACGGACAGATTCAGACATTTTTTTTGATAGAGTCTGTACAACTAAGGATCTGGTTTAAATGATGGTGTATGTACAGGACTGTGTGACTACCGTTGCGTGGCGACCAATGAACACCGTAGCGTGGTCCGGTGTTACAGGCAGACAGACAGATTTACTTTTGCATTTATAATGTCGTAAAGACAACTAAATGTCTTTGTTTATTGAGGGTTTTAGTTGAGGCCAAGACCTTACTTCTACAGACATCTAATTAAGGCTCGCCCTCATTAAGTTTCGTTACAGACCCGTGAAAGATTCTTGGAACGATGGTTTTTATCCTAAGGATATATACGATAACTGCAGGTTAAATGATGGTGTTTGTGACTACCGTTGCGTGGCGACCAATGAACACCGTAGCGTGGTCCGGTGTTACATCATCAGATCCTTTTGCATTTTATAATGTCTGTAAACCAACTAAAGGTCTTTGTTTATTGAGGGTTTTGGGCTATTGTCAGGTGCCAAGACCTGTAGCATGGATATTATGGCTCGCATTAGCTTTACCGACCGAACAATAGAGTTATTAAGGATATTCTTAGGAGCGATGTTTTATTTAGTAAGAACAACTAAAGATCTGGTTTAAATGATGGTGTATGTACGGGATTGTGGCTGTGACTACCGTTGCGTGGCGACCAATGAACACTGCAGCGTGGTCCGGTGTTACAGGCAGATAGACAGATTTATTTTTGCATTTATAATGTCAGTAAAGACAACTAAAGGGTCTTTGTTTATTGAAGGTTTTGGGCCATTGTCAGGTGCCAAGACCTGTAGCACTGCGATCTACATAGATCTATTGGGCTCGCCCTCATTCAAAGTTTGTTACAGACCCGTGAGGGACAATAATTTAAGGATATTTTCAGGAGCGATGGTTTTTATCTCATAAGGATAGAGTCTGTACAACTAAGGATCTGGTTTAAATGATGGTGTATGTACAGGACTGCGGCTGTGACTACCGTTGCGTGGCGACCAATGAACACCGCAGCGTGGTCCGGTGCTACTGCCCTGTTGCTTGGAGCACTGACGCCCATGATCGCACCAAGTGCATCTGTGAGTATACCTTTTTTTTCAGACTAGAAAAAAACATAAAAAAATATGGATTACGGTTTTGAAAAACAAATGCATGAGTAAATCATTACGTAGTATAAAACAAAGTGGCTGTCGCTGTCTATCCGTCCCTATGTATGCTTAAATCTTTAAAACTACACAACATATTTTGAAGCGGGTTTTTTTAATAGATAGAGTGATTCAAGAGGAATGTTTATATAATGATACATGTACACTCGGGTGAAGCCGAGGCGAGTAGCTAGTAACTGTATAAATTTAAAATTGTAATTCATTTTTGGATTAATTTTTAAACTCAAAATTAGGCAGCCTAATATAGTGATGACCAGCATATGCTATTGCAATTTTGTCAAAGCAAATAGACTTACATCAATAATGAAATTTTGATTTGATTTGTTATACAACAAACGCTTTACTTTCGATGGTCGTGGGTTCGATTCCTCGCATTCACATTTGGATATTTTAGAAATTTTATATATTTTATTAGTTTAAAATTTAAATTATGATATCTATATGATATATCCTGTTTAAATAAACATAAATATTTTACTTTTCTCTTTTGCAGTGGAGGACTCTTGGCCCCGCATCTCCTGGGTTGTCATCATAGTGTTGTCCATCGTTGTGTTTGTCTGTGCTCTCGCTATACTCTGCGTCTGCCTATTTCTATGTAAGTATGTTACTCCTAAACTATCGCGCTAACGGTTTACACTGGCGGAAAGTCAGTCTGAAATATAAATCGAAACACAATGTTTTTTTAGTTTGTTTTCCATTAAGAAGAGGCGATTTCTAGTAATGAAGACTAATTGAGCATGTTGAATTCATATACTCAACCGTTTCTTTTCCTGCATTGGATTATGATTTTTATTTCAATAGTAATATGATCGAAAAAAATATAACTACAATTTATTAGAGATTTTTTGCTCTGGCAGTTACTTAATATTTTATTTCATAATTATTGAATTTTCTCTTCATTTCCTTATCATTTGACGGCCTCGGTGGTCTAGCGGGTTAGCATATCGCTTTACTTCCGATGGTCGCGTGTTCGATTCCTCGTACTGTCCAAACATTTGCGTTCATAAGCATGATCGCTTGTATCCCTCTGGGTGTTTTCTATGCATATTATGAAAAAAGTACTAAGTATTTCTATCAGTTGTCTAGTACCCATAACACAAGCTCTGCTTACCGTGGGACTAAATGGCGCTGTGTTAATTGTCCAGAGTGATATATTTATTTATTATTCATATTATATACAGACAACTCCTATCAACGGAAGAAAGAAGCTGAAATGCGGCAGAAACGTCTTCTAGAACAGGAGGTTCAGCTGCATCGTCTTCGTAACGCCCCTGGTGGGAATGAAAACCCCTTGAGCATGGCGTTCAACCCTCACTACGGCAGCGAGAGTTTCCTTCCCCAAGGCATCGACGTTAGGGGACTGCCTCAAGTCTCCCGAGAGAGTCTCAAACTTGTCAAGTAAGTCCATATCATTACAAGCTTTTATTTATTCATTCTATTCTATTACCATATATTTTGTACTATCTTACCCGCGCAACTTCGTCTGCATCACAGTTATCATTATATTTCGCCCAATTTACATAATATCTTTTTAATTTATAGCCTTGTTGTAGCTCGTATGGGATGAAGAGAAACCACTAATTTAGTAGTATCCGTGGATTAATTTATTTGGAATGCTTTACAGCTTATGTGCGTAAAATCATGTCATTAATACATATGTTATTGATATACCTAAATATGTATAACTCAGAGGTGACTGACTGACATAGTGATTTATCAACGCACAGCCCAAACTATTGGACGGATCGGGATGAAATTTGGCCTGTAGGTAGATGTTATGACGTAGGCATCCGCTAAGAAAGGATTTTGATTAATTCTACCCTCAAGAGGATAAAATAGGGGATGAAAGTTTGTCAATTTTAAACTGATCGGGCTGAGACTTTGTATACATAAAGCTACTATGACGTAGGCATCCCCTAAGAAAGGATTTTGATAAATTCCACTCCTAAGGGCATAAATTAACGCGACCGCAGACGCGGGCAAAAGCTAGTAAGATATATTACTGTAAAGTTTCATCAAAATCCGTTCTGTAGTTTTTGCGTGAAAGAGTAACAAACATCCATCCATACTCACAAACTTTTGCGTTTATAATATTCCAGTATATCATCTGGTGATTTATTGTAAATTTTTATACCCACTCCCATAAAAGATCTATTGACTTTTTCTAAACGATACTCAGCCACAGCAAGTTCGTTTTAAATCTAGTATTAGTACTACTATATTTCAATGTTTAATAGAATAGAATAGAAAATCATTTATTCAAATAAACTTAATTTAAGCACTTTTGAATAGTCAACATTTTTTTAAATCTACCGCTTATTCGGAAAGCTGTCTCATCACAAGAAGAATAAGCAAGAAACTTGTGTGTTGCTCTTTTAAACAATCCTTGTAAGTTCACATTTTACAAGTCGAAACGTGTGAATACAAACTACCGACCAGTAAATAACATGTCGTCGGTTTTCAAAATGTACATTTTTTACTAGACAAGCGTTTAAAGTTTTTAAATTTATTTAACTTATTCTTTCCTTTAAAGTTTTAAATTTACACAGAACTATTATATATCATTTTAAATTGTATTTATTACTAGTATTTACATAACCTAATTGTACAACTAAGAACCTAAAATTGAAAAGCTTAAAAAAAATGTATAATATGATGACTAAAAATAAATAAAAAATATATTATTAAAAGGGGTCCCTTTAGTCCCTTATGTCCCTTTCCATTTTAAATGTATTTAGATAAATAAGAAGGCGTAGTTAATTTAACTGACTTATAAGTAATATATAAAAGGCGGCAATTCTAGTTTCTAATTTTGAAAAATGACATTTTTAATTTAATCGAAGATGTAATAATAAAATTTTATCTCTTCAGAGCCCTCGGGCAGGGGGCCTTCGGAGAAGTCTACCAGGGGCTGTACCGTCATCGAACTGGTGATACGGTGGAGATGCCAGTGGCAGTCAAGACACTTCCAGAATTGTCCACCGGGCAGGCAGAATCTGACTTTCTCATGGAAGCTGCTATTATGGCGAAGTTCAACCACCCCAATATTGTGCATCTGATTGGGGTGTGCTTCGACAGGCATCCACGGTAAGTTAATATCTGGCAATATAATCAAATCCAATCAAATCAAGTCTAATAAAAACAAATCAAATCAAAATATCTTTATTCATGTAGATCTATTACACACTCTTACGATATGTCAAATCTACCATCAGTTCGGAATGCTATCAACTTAAGAAAAACTGACAAGAATTCTCAGCTCGTATTCTTTTCAAATATTGTTTCCAATAATACATATTCATTTTCAAATTCAAATTTGGGAGAATAAAATGACTACCAGCATATGCTATTGCAATTTTGTCAAAAGCAAATAGTGTAATCAGTGTTCGTAACCCGAACAGACAAGTCCCCACAGCACCCGTTCACTAGTATGACGCGAGAGCCATCATTGTATTCAACCTATTGGAGGGAGCATACATAATATATAATATTTCCAAATTTAAGAATTTAATATATAATATTCTTTATTGCACAGATAATACAAAGATATTATAATTTAGAGACAATGTGAGCAAAGGTGGACTTATCCCTAGAAGAGATCTCTTCCAGTCAACCTAAAACAGTGGGATATGTGGTACTGAGTGGGTAATAACTGGTGCAAACAAGTAATTATATACGTTAATTATTTTACAAATAGGATATCGTGCTAGCTTAAAAATTACGAATTTGCTTACACCCTTTCATCCCCTATTTTATTTTACCCCCTTTAGGGTAAAAATTCAACAAACTTTGATTTGATATTTATATTTAATCAAAAGCGTAAAAATAATTTTAAACTTTAGAAATGGCAATACTTCCATACAACATTCATCTCCCCTTTCAACCCCTTACAACCCTTTTTTCGCATTAAAAAGTAACCTATGCCCTTTCTTAGGCTCTAGGCTATCTGTGTACCATTTATTTAAATCAGTTCAGTAGTTTTGGCGTGAAAGCACGACAGACAGAGTTACAGCATTTATAATATTAGCAAGTATACAAGATACCAGTTAGTATATAAGATACCAGTTTTTGAAGTCGAAGAAAACATTGGTCACCAGGTTCATAGTGCTGGAGCTATTGGCTGGTGGGGACCTGAAGAACTTTCTCCGAGAAAGTCGCCCCAAGCCTGAAAGGGCCAGCGCTCTCACCATGAAGGACCTGCTGTTATGCTCCTTGGATGTCTGCAAAGGTTGCAGATATTTGGAAGCTAAGAGATTCATACACAGGTAGGTCTCTATCCTGAAGGAAAACTTAAATTTCCCGACTTGTAGATCTTGATTTTAATTAATTAATTAATTATTTTGCGCACAATAATTTTATACATGGCGGATGGTCACTTTGAATGGAAATAATAAATAATATAAATTACATTGTATGTATAGTTTTGTTAGTCAATTAACAACATAATAATCTGGACCAATAACACAGCGCCATTTAGTCCCACGGTAAGCAGAGTTTGTGTTATGTGTACTAGACAACTCATATATCTTATATATAAAATTCTCGTGTCACAGTTTTCGTTCCCATACTCCTCCGAAACAGCGTGACCGATTCTCATGAAATTTTGTGAGCGTATTGAGTAGGTTTGAGAATCGGCCAACATCTATTTTTCATCCCCCTAAATGTTAGGGGTAGTCCACCCCTAATTTTTTTTTTATTTTAAGGCAAAACAACGTTTGCCGGGACAGCTAGTATACTTAGATATTTTTTTGTAAATACATACGTAATATACATAGAAAATATCGTACTTATGACTATAAATGTTTGCACCGTGCGAGGAACGAACCCGCGACCATCGGAACTAAAGCGGTTTAAACCGCTACACCACCGCGGCCGTCAGTTGTATACACATAAAAAAATATCAATTGAATCTTCCTGTACCTTCATTTACCAATTATGCCTTATTTTTGTTCGTAGTATAAATAAAGTTATCTGATGTAGGCGATTACCACTTTCCAACAAGTGGGTTTCTTTATCCACATATACATTTCTTCCGCCATCAGTTGGGTTTCTTAACCCTAACATTTCTTTCACCAGGGACATAGCCGCTCGGAATTGTCTGCTCACGTCCCGTGGTCCGGGCCGCGTCGTGAAGATAGCCGATTTCGGTATGGCTCGAGATATATACCGAGCTGATTACTACAAGAAAGGAGGAAAAGCGATGCTGCCCATCAAGTGGATGCCACCGGAAGCGTATATTGATGGTATATTTACCATCAAGACGGATGTTTGGTGAGTTTTAAGACGAACACCCCGCCCCGACTTCGTTCAGGCCAAATATTTGAGGTTCTCTTTTGTCCAAATTCTTAAGACTAGCAACCCGCCCCGACTTCGCTTGGGCCCAATATAATGGTCTTCTTTTATTAAAATTCTAATTCAAAATATCTTTATTCATGTAGATCTATTACAGACTCTTATATGTCAAATCTACCGTCAGTTCGTAATGATTTCGAAATGAGAAGAACTGACAAGAAACTCACCTTTTCAAATAATATTACAATAATACAGATTGATTCTTAAATTCACGCCACTTGTTTGAACTTTATAGCGAGCATGACTGTTTCAAGTTACTCCACTACGTCATTTATAATAATTACGGCTGTAATTAAAAATAAGATATCTTATAAAGTAAATAATTGATTTATTTTATGAAAAATAAATCAAATCTAATTTATCCAAAAAAATATATAATATGATGACTAAAATATATTATTAAAAATGCCCTTTAGGCAACGTTCCGAAGATACTGGCAGCGTTCCCTCTTTGAATAGCTAGACTAATTCTTTGTCCAAGGTAGCTGCCAGCTCTTCGGTCTTCTGTGATGTCGACTAACCTTTTCGTTATTTCTTTGAAAAGTCTTATAAAGTGTTCGTTGAAATCAAATGATGTAAAGGATAATTTTGTTCAACATTAAACTACAGGGTAGGGTCAAAGTTTGACCTTTATGCATCAACGTGCCATTTTTTCCAAAAAACGTTTAATGGGGTCATTGACATGCCATCAAATAATTTTGACTTTCTGATTATTTGGAAAATAATAATAATAAATACTATCAAAACTCTCTATGAAATAAAGTAAATAAAAGAGGCACATTTTGGATTGTTTTCATTACACGCATAAATTAAATTACTGTAAAATTAGTGTGACTTCTGTTGCTGCAGGTTAGATGACAAATAATTTATATCAGGGTTGTACGATGTTACTTTTAGCGAAATGCATGCTGAACTGGATTCGTCTGTCAAACGGTTTCTAACTGAGTTTTTAACGTTATTCATCTATGAAAATAATGACACGCAGGCATAGGTAGGTAGGTGAAAATATTGTTAAAATAGCATGAGACATCTTCTTCAAACAGTTTTATGATCGACGACGTGCCCAAAATATTGTGTCGCGTGCCATTATTTCGCCTACCTGTACTAATCATAAATAACGTATTTATTTAAATAAGGATTAATATCATTTTTATAAAAACACCTTCAGAAATAATGCATTGTTTTAGAAGAAATTTGATTATCATAAAAAAGGTTATAATGAGTTAACCTTAAAACTTAGACATATATTGTAGTATACTTTTTTTTTTATTTTACAGGAGCACAATTCCGTCATACATGTTTTTGAGTAACTATAGTCTTTTACACAGAGTACAATAGCACTCAATGACTTATTTTTGAGTTGTTCTATTCTATTTGTGCAATCAGGTCGTTTGGAGTGTTGTTGTGGGAGGTATTCTCATTGGGTGTGATGCCGTACACCGGCTGCGCCAACAGGGAGGTCATGGAGATGGTCTCCGGAGGTGGCAGGCTCGAGAAACCATATGGTAATATATATTACTAGTACTAGACTAGCTACGCCCGGGTTTCCATGTATGATATATCTTCCTCTAGAATCACTCTATTTATTTAAAAAAACCGCTTCAAAATCCGTTGCGTAGTTTTAAAGATTTAAGCATACATAGCGACGGACAGACAGCGACAGCGACTTTGTTTTATACTATGTAGTGATAATAGAATGGTGTCCCCGTCTGCGCTAACGGTATACGCTCGCGGGGCACCGTTAAGTTATTTTGTCTGCAAATGGCCGATGACCATTATTTTGCAATCTAATACTACTACGATGGTGGCAAACAAGCATACGGCCTATCGGATGGTAAACGGTTACTGTAGCCTACGGACGCCTGAAACACCAAAGGTGTCACGTGTGCGTTGTCGACCCAAAACTTTAGAAATTTTAGGATAATATAAATAAATATCTTTACGCCTGTTAAACCAAATAAGATAGTCAGGCGTATTTTTTTAAGGGTTGAGATTTGGGGCACCTTTCTGTGCTAACGGTTTACGCTGGTGGGGCATCAGTGGAGGATGATAAGATGAGGTCATGTCAGTTAGCTCATCGTGACACATTTATCAGGAATGGTTTCCAGGGAAAACTGCGTGGAGATCAACCTGACATGGTACATTATTAGCAATGGGTTTATAAGTCCACATCACTAATCCCGTTCCCCAATAAATGACCATTCGACCATCCACCATTGCAGGCTGTCCACAAGAGATCTACCGTCTCATGTGCGAGTGCTGGAACCCGACACCAACCGAGCGTCCATCCTTCGCCCACATGTTTGACAGACTGCAAAGGTTCTTACAGGTAAGTGACAAAAGTTGAGCAATCCAGTAAAATAAACTGTAATTTTCTGAATTACTCTAATGCTGTTGGCTGCAGCTGGCCTTTACAGCTTCACCGGACGACAGAGGGCGAGCGCAGATGGCACTCCAAACCAAAAGGACTTATGGAGCGGCTGAAGGCCAACTCCCGCCTGACGGATACGACTTTAGTCTGATGGCACCGTTAAGGTTTCAAACGTCGGCTCCGGCCGTTGTAATTTCTATCCCCGTTTGAATTGGACGGGGGACCGAGCTGTTCGTCTATTATTAATTTAAAATAAATATGCCGACGACTGTAATACTGGATGAGGTAGACAGTAGCATTGTGAACATAATCAACAGGATTAACATTTCGCTAAGATATATTTGAATGCAATAAGTACATTTTGGTTGTTATTAGTGTTATTATCACTGGAAATATAATGAGAAATATAACGCTTTATGTTCACAATAATATTTATTCTCGTCCAGATTCAACGTGGCAGTAAGCTGTGACGCTTTAAAAATTTAACAAACTTTTCTTACTAGTAAAGGAAGGAATGATTGTATGTGACGTCACCTAGGGAAATGTGACCGTGAAGTGTGTGACAAACGTGACCGGGTAATAATCGTTAAATTTGTGTGATCTACTTTTAGGATGGATAGGAAATAGAAATAATATTTATTCAAATAAACTTAATATAAGCACTTTTAAATAGTCATATTTTATATTCTACCACTCGATCGAAACGCAGACTCATCACAAGAAGAACGAGCAAGCAACTTGCGTGTTGCTGTTTTGAATAAATGTTATTTTAAATAAATACACAGTAACAATTAGGAGGCATGCGATAATAGACATAGAAACCGCTACGCACTCATTCTTTGATGTCCTCTAATGATGAGTTATTTAATGGTTTTGGGACCTACAGGACCCGGAGATAGTGAGCGCCCCGCTGCCGGTGGTGCGGTCACTGTTGCCGCCGCAGGACTCGCTGCTGGCCAACGGACCGCAGGTACCACTCACCACCACTCTACTACACCACACTACCGCTATTATGATACATTCCCGTGCTTTGTACACTTATAACGTATTAGGGTTTTATGGTTATTAGTTTTTTTAATTACGATAATGTTACACGCTCTGAAGACTGCCGTTTTGGTCGTTCAAGATTGTTTCTGAATAATAATGGAACCTCTTTCGATAATGGTGTATAAATGAAATATACAGGAGTCATCGGAAGGATATTGTGAAAATTTCTAATATTAGTTACAAGAATCAAAGAACGAGAAAACTGTCAACTGTTTAAGTTATCACTCTGTAGCTGTCATATATCTGAACTCTGTAATCTGATCTGTGCAAAGAAAAATGTTCGTCATTCATCTACTGCTCTAGTACAAGTTATTATACTATAAAACTATTTGTTAAAAACTATATTTTAATAAAATAAAATACGAAAAGCCAATTTTAATCCGCATCCTCTTTAATGCAGTTTCTTTAAAACAAACTGCATTATTAAACCTGATTACGTATCGATTTAGGAGCTTTTTTAGAAATATTTTTAAAATGCATAGATTAAAAATAAATATATAGTAGTAGTGGTATATTTTATCCACAAGTAGATAGGCAAAGGTACGACACCATACAGCCTAATCTTCAGTAGTATTTCCATGAGATTCAAAAATTCAATAAATATATATGTTTCTGCAAATTGATAACTCTGCATTGATTAAAAAGCTGTTATTTTTTTAACAATTCTATATTACAATGTAGCATAAGCACGAGACTGTACCATCACACATAACAGAGGCGTTATTCTATTATCTACAATTTTTCCCGCCAATTCTCTATTAAAAATAAAAATTAACTGACACAAGTTTTTTTTTATTTTACTGTAAAAAATATATAACTTTGTAAATATAATATAACAATTAAGTATTATTCAATAAAATTATTTTAATTAATATTCTTGTAATACACTGAGATATACGACTATTAGTAATAAAACATTTATTGTAAATTGTATTAACAGAAACAAATTTTTGGAATGTGTTGCCATAGTTCCAATAAAAAAGAATGATGCCTCTATAAAACTTACTATATTATTATTACAATTTATATTTGATTAACAGAATTATCCCTAGTTGGCAATAGTCAACAACCTATCACAGAAATAAACATAATATATAATAAAAACATAATACTAATTTGTAACTTTGTTTTTCTTTTTTTTCCAAATGTTTTCGCTCTGGCTACTAGAAGCAAGTAACTGGACTTCTTTATTTATTTATATACAGTTTTAAATTCAATTTCTTATTTTACTATCGGTGTTAGATATCCATGGATTTACAGAGCTCCGTGCTTAAGAGTGGCGCATGACCATAACCTACCATTTGTTTTTTTTCCTCTTGAAAAATTTGTTTTACATTTTTTCTGACTCTACCCCCTCCTGAATGAGAGCCGCATAGATTAGAATACCCTTGTAGTTAGAGAGAGATTCATTGGAATGTTGGATAAATCATTAAACATCATTGATTCAAACAACAATTAAATACGTCTGGATTTCAATTCATAGTGAACGTAATCATCATCATCGCATGCGATGTATCATTAAATTTACTGATTAATTAACCAATCAAATGTATGTTTTGTTATCGTTTTGTTTTAACATCATTCGTGCCTTCATTTGTGACATTTCAAAGAATCTCTTGTGTTTATCCGAAATACTTCAAAAACTTAATGTTTACTTGCCTAGTAGCTATAGCGAGAATCTATACCTACGTATCTATTCTTTTATTTTACCTTTGCCCCTTCGCACTGGGTTTTGTAAAAAAATATAGAGAAAAAAATTAAAGATAAACATTTTTTACAAAGACCAGTGAACTATGCACGCGTAGATTTAAAGTGGAACAGGCGCAGAGAGATTTTTATAAAAATACTATATTTATATATTACAATAAAGACTATTTTAGCGTGTCCACTGTCTTTTGAACGATGGGTAAACGTAATTACACTACACTGTTAAATTTACATTCATTGCTTAAACACAACGTTTTTACATAAAGTGACTTCGCAATATGAAACAATATCTAGCACAAACTTACCTACCAATGTCAATTCAAAATTCGTTTCCTAAACTGAAGACTGCAAATTATGTTTGGATAATTATGAATAAAAAGTTTATTTTAAGCAAAATCCTGAACTCTATAAAATTTCGTGGCTATACTTATAAAATGAGCATAACACGATAATCTGGGACTAGTTTAGACTATTTGAAGACATTTTAAAATGCAACTATTTATTTTTATAGGATCATACAATATGTAGTATGAATGTATGTCAAATAGTTGCATAGGGTCCAAATGAATGAGAGATTATAATAAATCTCGAATCCCCCGTTAATAGAGGTATTTTTTTAATATCAACGTACAATGAATCTCATTGTATTTCAAAAAGGATTCAATACAAACAACACATTCTATTAACTATAACTATTTGTACTAATATAAGTATTTTATAATACAAGTCTACATAGTCTGAGACTAGATGGCGCTGTGTAATATAAAAAGTCTGTAGAAGTTAACGAAAGACCGTGGACCGTGTACGACTATTGTATACAATAAGAATGAGATCTCTCCGCCCGGGCGTGTGTACTGAGCGTGGCATGTTGGCAGCGCGCGCCGGCGTGCGACTACCTCGTGCCGATGTCGCCGCAGGAGCTCCCGCCGCCCGACGCTAGGTAACGCTACCCCGACGGGCTCGCAGGGATAAACACACTCACATTTATATATTGACACGCTGACCCACCTGATGGAACGTTGAACAGCATCAGTGACTGCCATAACTGAGGACTAAGATGTTTCTACGGATTCCGTAGTTCCAGTACCATATACAAATATTTTCAACAATATATCTAGATTCGTCTAAGTTTCATAGATCCAAATACAAAATGACAAATTACAACATTAAACGATAATATCAAATTTAGAAATCAAGAAATGAAATGTAATATTCATACTTAAATTCAATATAAACAAAATTGTCATTTGAATCAATTTGTCATTAATTGGTTTAATGAATACTGTAATTCACATATTATAATATTTCAAATATATAATAATTAATAGTAATTATTAGATTTTCAGATTAAGAATCGTCTTATTTAACTAGTATTTGCTTCACCTCTACTTGATGTAAACCTTTAATAAAAGCAAGGTACATATTAACTAGTATACCTGCAAGCCTCGTCGGGTAATATTACTTACTTCTATTAAAATCTAACTTCTATATGTGGCACTTCCTTTCAAATTTGATGTTGTTATAGTAACCAAATACAATAACTGTCAAATCGTATTGTCTAATTATTCCTACATTTTAAACACTATATTTGCTTAAGAGCATCCAAAAAGCTACTTTACTAAAACATTAGTTTTATTAGCATTCTTTAAAGTTGTGGGAATAATTAGATAATAATCAATAACAAGATATTTAAACTGCTCTTTAGACAGAGTGGTGCAGCATGCACTAGAGAAGCAGCTAAATTTTTTGACCCCATATACAGTATTACTAAATGCAATTCCTTAAATATTACAATAAAACACAGCACAGTCCATACATACATTCTTTTTTCTTTAAAATCTCTTAAGATTGAAAAAAAATTATTTTTTAAATTAATAAATTTTTACTAATTCTACTCGCATAATTGAAAATTTACCATTATTCTATAATTAATAATGATGTTTTAGCTCAACGGATCAGCTGGTTCTTCATAGCAAATCGCCAACGGCGGCGCAGGACAAACAAGAAACGGAGGATTCACAATTTCAACCTCTTCTGAAAGGTGAGTGAATTTCAGAATACTTAACCGACATGTCATTAATAATAAAACAGCCAACTTATGCAAAATGTCATAAATACCCATTTTTTTTATGTGAATGACAAAGATATTTTTTTTCTCTATATATAAAGACATTTAACTGGATTGAATCTATTGAACTGATAGGCTGTGTATTGATAGATTTGTGATATCAAATCTATCAATACACAGCCTATCAGTTAAATTTTATATGTATACATTGATAATGTAGTCTAAACAGATGGGATAGGAAATTATTTTATTTTATAAACCAGTTTCACAGACTAACATGTCAGGGTAATGTAAGAAATTTATAATGATATTAAAAACTAAAACAGCTGGGCCGTACGCTATATTTTAGTATGAAGGGTAGGCAGTGAAATTACAGAGCTAAAAAGTTGTCTTAATCTCTTACCTACTACAGTCACCAACCAGCTTGCTATGTTTCTGCTATAGGGTGCAGATTATGTAGTGTAATTACAGAATAACATGCATGATAATCCAGTGCCCAGGACTGGAAATGCATGAGTGATTTCGAGTGTCAGTTGATAACGCGATGTCCATAGTATTGTTAATGTATATAGGTGACGCTAACTGTTGATAGACGTCCATCAGATAGGCTTTAGCTTGTTTGCCATTCTAATTACATAAAAAAATAAGTGCAATAAATAATAAATATCGGATGTGGTCATAAAACTGTGCAGCATCACAAGAATATGGCAACATTCCAATGGTGTGCCGGAGCGCACCGGGAGGCCGCCGCGCCGAATCCTCCGTTACTTCCGCCGCCGAGACGCGGACCACCACAAAGTTTCTGCCGTCTAACTCCACTGACAGGTAACTGACATTACACAATATATAAAACAATAGTTCAAACGCACAAGTACTCAACAATTATTCATTCAAATAAAATATTTCCATCAAAAGTACCTGAGGTAAAAAAGATATAGAAACTATAGTAATTTTTAACAATGATAGAAATTAGCTGATAGCTCCAGATTCCGGCGTATACAATCGATCTTATATAAGAATCGATTTAAGAAGCAATAGGACGAAAATCAAGTCTCCTTTCTGATGATAATATAGGTGCTAAATAGTCATAAATTTTATAATAGAAATTGCAGATAACTCCAGTATACAGTGCATACAATCAAAGAGGAAATAATAGAAGAAAACATCTACAAAAATATTCTATGTATCATTAAGAACTCTAGTTCTTTAAAAAGTGCCAAAAGCGATGGCCCGTAGCCGTCAGCAGTGGTAGTAACGCTTACCAACTAATTCGACAGTTGGTGGTTTACCCTCTACCACGTTAGATTCAAATATACTCAACGAGTATGTTAAGTACTGTGTGTATTGCAACATCTATAATTGACAGTGCCAGTGTTTACCCCATTTGGAATTACGGTTATTATTCTATACTTTTTACCCTCGGTAGTGTAACGGTTTAGCACGCCGATACTTTCTGATAACCGCGGGTTTAATTTTTCACAATGCAAACATTTGTATTCATAAGTATGATTGTATTGCTCTAGGTGTTTTCTATCTATATTATGTATGTGTTCACAAAAAATGTATTAAAGTATTTATATCAGTTGCATCTGAGTTTGTCCAGGATTATCATTTTTAATTATTTACTCAAATTAATACTAATGCTTCTTTTCTATATTAGACTACTAAGTTCAGTGGAAGGCAATTCAATAGACGAAGATACAGCCTCAGAAACCGATGACAAGCCAGTCATCTGGGAGACCTCGTTCACAGAGCCCAAGACTAACAACGTGGAGCCACAACAGAATGGAGAAAATGGACCCGCCGTTAGTATCTTCTTCATTACATAGTAATATGTACTAATAATAACAAAACTAAGTAATATATAATAATACTGTGGTATAATATAAAATATATAAAACTACGCAACGGATTTTGAAGCGGGTTTTTTTAATATATAGATTCTAGAGGAAGGTGTATTTGTATAATACATGTACACCCGTACGAAGCCGGGGCGAATAGCTAGTTACATGTAAAGTACGTATTTTAATACAGTTTTCAGCAATAAATATAGTTATTCAAGAGGAAGGTGTATATGTATTGTTATAGTGTAGAACAAGCCGAGAAATTCAAAGATTTCTAATGCATCCGTGCGAAGCCGGGTCGCTAGTTATATATAAAAATTTCGTGTCACGTTGCTTGTTCGCGATGGAATGCTAAACTATTGAACTGATTTTGATTAAATTTTATATGTATACTCGTTAGGTCTGAAAATCGATTGTTGTCTATTTTTATACATCTAATTTATAAGGATGGGCAACCCTAAAAGTAATCTTTATTTTTTAATATAAAATTTTTATTTGATTCCGATATGATTTGGCATTAAGAAATTCATCCTAAATTTTAATAATAAACATTGTCATCCATAAGTGATTATGTATTTTATAATCATTTCATATATCATCTTTGCCAACATGATATCGATATTGATTATTATTAATACAATTGATAAAGTTAATATGGTAGAATAACATTACGTTTCCCTTTCACAGGTCGATAAACTTATAAGCATAACGCCAACCTCACCGAAACCTCCAGAAAATGTTTTATCAAAAGCAATCGAGTCCACTGTCATAGACAAGACTAATCATAAAAACACACTAGTGCCAGAACGTAAGACTGCTCCAATCGCCTCCCCTGACCCACCACGAATCAATCCATGGCCGAAAGACCCACCAAAGCTGGCCCCCAAATTAAAACCGTTATGTTTAGACGCTGCACAGTTAGAACAAAACCTAAACGCATTAAAAAAGAATAGTGGCTCAGTGAATTTAACTACAATGAATATTTTACCACCATACATTAACGTAGTCACGCCAAATAAGCTATCCGAATCAAAAACTATACAAATCGATCCGAAGAAAGCTGTAATAGATGATCTACAGACTCCAAAAGAGGAGGTAAAGGAAGAGAAAGTTAAATTAAAACAGTCTAATTCTGCTGCAAGTCTTCTGAATGGACCTATGACTGATGTGCCGTATGCTGACAGCGATAATGCATCATCAAGTTCTGGTAGCAATGCACAGAATCTTATAAATCAGAAGAATAAGAAGAATTACGCCGAGGTAGTGGTTGGGAACGATAATAGAAGTAAAGTGATAAAACAGGGTAGCAACGGTGGTGATTGCGTCGGGGACTCTGAGATTAGCTGTTAATTATATATTGCTATTGTTTATGCATTTAAAGATGCATTGGATAATTATGAACATTTATCGTTACCATCCATTTATTCTCATTTAGTTTTGGTTGTGTATATCAAACCACTATTTGGTTATAGAATAATTAGAAGACTGTACAAAGATGGCACTTGTGGTGTAGGACTTCTTACAATATAATGATAGATATAACTTCGATATTTACTAATACTACAAAATTAACATTAGTGTTAAATACAAAATCAAAACTAGACGAGAATAATTTTGATGGTAACTCTGCACTCATTTTTCTAATTACCTGTATTATTAACAAAATAATAATCAGTAGAGTACAAAAATTCGTAACCCGTGTGACTTAAATGTATGCCATACCGATCACGAAGCAACTAAGACGGTGGCATGAATACAGATTGTGAATTTAATTTAGTTTTGCGAAATTAATTTAGTTTTAGTCATATACGAAAATTTTAATGGCTGACTCCACGAGAATATCATACGAGGCTGTCTATTGAAATTGTTGGACTGTGTGACGTTTGTGGTGCAAGAATCCAGTGTCGCCGTAAAGACATTCTATTATAATTAGTGAAAATAAAGTTACCTAAATATAGGTGTAAATATTACTGATACGTTTTAATAAATTAGCGACTATAATCTTAAGCAGTACAGATGACTTTTGTGAGGACTTTGAAATATATATAATAGGTATATATAAATTAATTTCGGAAATTTGTATTTTTGTCAGAGTTGTACAAAACGTTGTTTTTCTAATGGACGAGTAGGGGGATATATTGAAATAGTAGAAGTTTATTTGTGTGGAAAATATGAGATGGCTTCTAGATATCGCTTATAGTTAAAATAGTCGATTATTATTGCTCAATTTGCTCAATATTTTGCGAAGGATAGTGTCAAACAAATACCTACGACTGCAGTTAGGTTTTTCTACTTTTAGATATTCTGGAACTCAATTGTGAGGGTTATACAAAGACTTGCCACATGGTTCGCTTCGTAGCATTTTATGTTTTGTTATCTAATTGTATTATTTCGAATAATTCTATACTTTCTATACTACTTTAAACATATTGTGGAAAACGAACGCACATAGCACTGGCAACAGCTTTTAGGAATATCTTCAAAAATTAATATGTAAGGCCAATGAAACGAATTAATGAACTATATTGAATTTTTGTTGGTTCGTATCTGAGAACATTTCGCGTAAATGATATTTATAAAAACTCAAACACTAATTTCGTTTCTGACCATAAAATATTCTCTGCATACAAATGTATACTGTATGTTAAAATAATACTTTCCAATCCTTTAAATTTATTTACGGCATGCAATTTAGTTTCGTGAAATTAATTTAGTTTAAATCAGTTTTGTGAATATAATTTACTTTGTATCAAGTATGTATAATTTAGTCAGTAGTAATGGTTTTTATACAAGGTTTAATAATCGGAGCCGTCTGTTGAAGTTGTTTTACTGTCTGTGGCGTTAAAGTAGTGTATAAGTATTAAGTATAATCAGCAGAAGGAATAGACACATAGACACATATCTCCAAAAAAAAACTCACGTCAAAATAATACAGTCTTATTCCCACGCTGTCTCTAGAATATTCGATTCTTTCCTCAATGTGTATATCATCTTTTCTTACGCGACACGTTCTCAGTGAATTAAATATATTATGATTTCTGTATTAGATTACGATAGTTAAATTGTAGTAACGCTTAAAATGTTTGTAAATAATATAAAAAAATGTAGTGATTTGTGTAAATCCGCCCCGAACATATAGATACACGAATAATTATAATAAAAGTATAAAGAAGTTATGTTTTAGTAGTGTATAGGGTATGTAAATTATCAGTATTATGTTGTAAAGGAAGATTTTACGTACGTTGGACTGCAGTTTATTATATTTTTGTTGTTAATAGAAAAATAACACATTGGTTATTACATTATCATCATCTGCATTAGATTGACCGTTATAAGGGAGTATAAACTAAATTATTAAATATAGTTTTATTATATATTATATGAATTTAAAAAATTACAATGTGTGTTAACACATAAGTGGATGCTTTAATTAAACTGTAAGATAGAGTTTAAGGGAATCTAATAGCGAAAATTATTTGAAATTATACGAAACGTTGTTTCTGTTCAATCAGAGTAGTGCCAGGTTTTTTTATTGCCTGAAATGTGGACGCATTTAATTTAGTTTCTTTTGGGCATGAAATGACAGGGTATCGCGGTAATTCTATTACGTTATTGTGTTATTACTCTGCATTAATAAATTATTGTTATCTATTACTTAAAAACTAATTCAACGAGAGTCGGTTTGCGGTTTTGAACTAAATTATTTGGACAGACTAAAACTAATTTAAATAATACTAGTATGTTAAAATAATTTAGTTCAACTGACCTTAAGTATGTCAGAGTATAGGCCAGTGTGGCACCTCAAAGCAAAAATAATATTATCATAACGAATAAAAACTAAACAGCCCATAACTTATGGAGTAATTAGTTTTATTCCATAATTAAACTCATCTCATCAAGTTAACTTTTTGTCCTTAGTCTTACTTGAAAAAAAATACATTTGGGCAAATTTAAAATACAAAATTATTGTTTGTATTTTTCTGCCATGAAAAATACCATTATATATTATTCTCCTAGCAAAATTTCCACATTTTTTATAAAACAATTCATGTATTTACTTACCCACCTATGTAGGCACTTGTATACATATAAATAAATGATCTGGCAAACTTAAATGGAAAACGTGATATATTGGCTCAAAAAGACTTGTATCCAGAGCCGTAAAGTATAATACATAAAAAAAAATGTGACATTTTGCCGCCGTTTTCTACAAGAATACTTGTCGTAATATTTGCATGTAAATAACATGTAATTGTAGTTTTAACATGTATAAATGCAAATATTTAAAACAATGTACGATTGAGAAAAATGCGGTATTGTTCAAATAAAAACGTATGTAGGCAAATAGTAATAATTGTTATTATTCTCCCTGACAATTTGCCTACACACGAGGCGATTTACGAAATCGATGGCGCTTTTACCACTGAACCGATATAAAGACCGTATGTAGATTGCTTTAATATGTTCATAAATTAAATATAGACACTAAAAAAGTATGGTGTACAATTTACAAAATGTCATTTTTTTTCTTAAAGTAATACATAAATAAAAAGACAACTATTAAAATGCATACGTATAAAACCTTATTAGGTAACTGTATATAGTACTTTTTCAATATTATGTTTTTTTAATGGATTATAATAAATGGTCCACACACGCTATGGGCATACGCTGACGAGGCTCTAGTGAAGAATGATAAACTGAGCATGATGTCAGACCAGTGAGGCCATTGTAGTAATGGAGTCCCTGGTCCCATTACTAACAGTCCCCTCCCCCTATCATTAAGCTATTAAACACTGTTTAACTTTGCCAGATCTTTATAAAACTTGTATTGTCATAAATGTTGGCTAAAAATTGCCACTTTAACGACAATTTTTTTCTACTAATCTAAAATTAATGTAACTTTTCTACTAAGTATAGTTTATCTCGAATCCCACTAAAACCACTTGTATAAACTTTCAAAAGGTTCGGAATAACGTTTGATTGTCACTTCTGTAACGTTGCTCAATTTAGAATTATTCTTTTTGAATTAGAAGAAAATAATCTTCTCTCTTTGAAAAAAAAAACTTTTTTTTAATTAAAAAAAAAAGAGAAATGTGGTTGTGACGTAAGTATAGTTACGGGTGAGAAAAAGCGAAAAGACGAAAAGTTCCTTTAGAATTCGAAGCGAGTGACTCTGAAATGTTATTCTCCTTGTATAACAACTTTCTTTTTTCTACAAAATAATTCTTAAACATTGAATACTTTGAACAACGAAACGTTAAAATATAAAGTATTATTTTGTTTTTTATATATATATATATATGTATACGCAGGCGTTTTGTTGAAATACAATCATGACCCCTTTTGTAAATGAGCAAGAGTATTAAGCTGTATCAGCACTGCGCTTTTGTCCGACGCGTATTTTTTTAATTATAGGTATAATGGCGCTGTTTTTTCCGCAGCGCAATTTCAATGTTATAGAATTTTGTGGGAAAAATACTGCGTGGATATAATTCGCAGTGCTGTTACGCTGCTAGTGTGGTATATACGCTACATAATAGTGGAGCATGTTTGTATATGAGAAATAAATATAAAGTATGAAGTCGCGTGTAAAATTTCTATAATAACAATAAAACAAAAAAGTGTAATTGATATTCAAAAATAAAATCATTAATAATAAATGTAAATCTGTTGTTTTATTTGTACATCATTATTTTTAGCATATCTTTTTAGTTTTAATGGATGATAATGGAATGGTGCACCCGTCTTTGCTAACGGCATACCAGTGGAGGATGATAGGGTGTAGAATAAATCATTTAGCCTATCGCAGTAAATTCACCAGAAATTAAACTCCAAGAATTACGTATAAGGGAATTGTCAGTAATGTGGACTTATAACGTTGGTAGCAATGTACCATGTCTGGTTGACCTCTGCGCGCCTCCCCCTGGAAACCATCGTGATAAATTCTTCGTGAATTTGTTACGATAGGCTAACTACCTGTCTTCATGTTCGTCTTATCATCCTTCACTGGTGCCTCGACATCGTAAACCGTTAGCGCAGGCAGATACATACATAACTCCATTATCATCCATTAATAAAAAAAAATCAGTTGCCTTGCTACCTGACTTACCATCAGGTGAGTCATCATGCTTGATATGCCAATTATGTAAAATAATCGGAAGGTACCTAAAGCTTTGGTAAAATTAATAAAATAAAATAACATTAAAATTATTTTGTATCCTTTTTATTAAGTTTCTGTTAAATAATATATTTTTTATGAAACACTAAACATCGAAAGGGCATCACAATTTCTATTGAACGTTGAATATAGTAGGTACAAACTCATACAAAGCTGATTACTATAAACAATTACTTGTATATCATAGATTATAAATCGTAGAGTAAGTATTACATGTTGTAATACTTACTCTATGATTTATGAAGCTGTTACATAGAGACAGAATTTATAACAAATTACTCGGGAAAAGACAAAGCAGTATAAAGTTTCAAATTTTCGTTACATATATATTATAAATATATGACGTTTCTTCGTTTTGTTTTTGGCGAAATATCTTAAAATCTGGGTTTAAATGTTGTACAAGGAATAGTTTTATAAATAAAAAAATATTCAGCGGCATCTAGTCCCAAACTAAGTAGTACTATGGGTATTAGACAGCTGATAGATATATTTTTTTTTGTAAAAACATAATACACATATGAAAAAACGAAGACCAATACAAGTAGATTTAACCATGAATATAAATGTTTGTATAGCGCCACCGCGATCGAAACCGCGTCTACTGAAAAAAAAAACAAAAACTACTCATCGAGGACCAAAAATAGAGTATGTAAAAAAAGAAAATATAAATCTAAATAGAAATTAAAAAAATACAATACACCTGAGTCATGGTTTAACTCTTCTTGATCATCTGTGTAAATTTAGAAATAAGAATACATATTTTGAAATGTATATATTATAAAACAAATTCATTACAAATAAATGTTTCTTTGAACTTTATACAAAAAAAATACATAGAAATAAATAGTAATATTTCGGAATTGATATATATTAGAATTGTCTCTCTTTGTATTACATTAATAAACACAAATTCTACGATTACAAAGCAATTTGTTTCATATTATGGACGGAAATAACCAAATTTCTTTTTTAGAATATATAACATTTAGCATATCATTTGTATTTTAATCATGAAACCATAATAATAGTACATACAATAATAAATAATTGTGTCTATTGATATATACATCAATATTATATTTATTGTATATTTCTACATTACATTTCTGTTCTAAAGAAATAGACAATATTCTTTTTTGGTAGAAATTATTTATTTCTACCAAAAAAATAAAATTATCTATTTCCATAGAGAATACAATTATCAATCTATAGACAATTTTTGATTGGTTTATTTCACACGTGGAAAGCACCTTTTTTATTGAACGGCACGTTGATTTTGGACTACCTTTCTAGTATTCGAGACAATAAATATACATCATGAGATCAAAAATTTTAACAAAACATGTTTAAATTTAACCAAAACATTGTATTATTTATTAATCCCATTTTATATAGAAATTTATTTATCAGGTTAAATTCATAAGATTAATATGAAGGTTTTAACAAAAACTGTGCTCAATAATTTCTGATGTTTAGAAATAAGTAATAAATAAAATTATAAACGACCTATAAAAAAAATATGCATGTTTCTATTTTTTATTTTATTATTTTTATGGTATAAGCTTTATGTATTATTTATTCACATGCTCTACATTATATCGTTTGTTTTTTGGTTTAAATCCATTCGATTCATCGATTATACAATCGATCGATTCATTTTATAATAATGTAGTAATGATATGAATCGATGTAATGCGTAAAATATAATACTGTAAGCTGTATTACATGATTAAATATAATTACTTATACACTCTATATTGCACGATATATAATACAGGAATTAAAATTAAGAGAGTAATAGTGTACGCCAGGCGGTCTTATCGCTTATGCAATCTTCCAGACCTTTGAACCTCTACCAACTACAAAGATAAAAGATATTGTAACATTTTCACTATATTTTTATTACCTGACTTCTTGAAGTTCCTATATGACCTTTGAAAATATTGAGAACAATTTTTGTTACACCTTACATTATAAGTTTATGAGTATTGTTCTATTAAAACTTCATTGGTTACACACCAAAACAATTATGAAACATTAATGACTGTATGTACCTACTTAATTTGTATTGAGTATTTGCAAAATCATAAATAAATCCAATATACCTCTTAATATTATAAGCTATGCCTGTGCTTAATAAAAAAAAAAATTGTCATAGTGTATGATTAACAATATATAACTAAACTTACTAAAAACATTATCATACAGATGACGTACATTTAAAAAAAATATATAAAACTACTTTGAACTTTAACATAACACCCATTGTCATATTGTTTTTTAATTTCATTAAAATCAAGATAGAAACGTATTTAGTAAGTTTAGCTGTATACAATAGGCTCTGGGCCTCAATTCTGTGATGATTGTATTGCACTTAAATAGAGAGTATATATTTTAGAAAAAAAAATCTAAAAAAAAACTAAACACTACATCGATGTATGCACGAATGATATGAGCAATTTATTTGAATATATAATTAATTATAATGTCGTAATTAAAGCATCCAATACAAATTTAATATTTAATAATAAGAAAAATTAATATACATATAATTCTTGATATCAAATAACTCTACAATTATCACATATAATTTCAATTATGTTTTAACAACGGACATATTATAAATGTACAAAAGAAACACATCAATTGAAGTTCAATATTGAAATTTTAATCCATTTATTTATATAGAGAAGTTATTTTCGACACTTGTGCGAATAACTAAACGCAAAACAATAATGTAAGATCATTAAGTATATAATTATAATAACTAACAATTGCATCATCCCAATCCTTTCCTTTAATTTACAAAATTGTCAAAACTAAAACAATACGACTGTCATAGACTAAAAAATACAGATAACTGAGAAATATTTGAATAATAGCTGTTTGTAATTACAAAATGTATGTTTTTGAATCCAATACAATATGTTAAAATGTACATAAGTATGAATTTAATATCATAGTTCATACAAAATAAAAAATTATGCGATTATTCAAATACACCTCTCATTGTAACCTATTTGTAGCCATCTACAAATATGTTGAAACAAAACGCAATTCTTTCTTTTTTTTGGTTAATTTTTTCCCATCACAGGGAAAGGCAAAAGGACTCAGCCTATACAGACATTCCTTCTCAGTGGTTTTGGCGCGAAAATCGATCTGTCATATTTGACAGGAAAACTTTTATAAAACTGCAACTGGCAAACGCAACGGAGCGCACATTAAACTCGCTAAACATACAACACTAACCTCACTATGATATTTTAATCGTAATTAATTTTATTAATATTACGAATAATTTATATAAGACGATACAAATTCGTTTCACCATACATTCACATAGACCTTGCACGCACATTATCACATTTTGCCATCGTATTGTCGACTTTAAGCGGTCGCATTAGAAGTCGTTGTCGCTCGAATGGTCGTAGTTCTCTGTTATTTGCGTGGGCGGTGGCTGGTAGCGTAGACTTGTAGATACAAGTACGGGCCCATGAAACGACTGAGAACGTAGGACACTGCTGTGGATAGATTCAAAACAACAACTATTATTATTACATAAAATTGGACAAGAAAGGCTTACAATTGTGCCCAGTGGCGTGGGTTGGTAAAGACCTAAGTCCAGCAGTGGACTGCAGTGGGCTGATGATGATTACCATACTAAAATCATTACTGTTTACATTATTAGTTATAAAAAAATAATAAATTCCGAGTATTAAATATAAGAACTTGTTTTTTTTATGATAACTCAGTATTATTACGACGGCCTGAGCCGAGGTTCGAACCCTTAGCGGCGCCCTCAGACTAAAGTCGTATCCGTCAGGCGGGAGTTACAAATATAAGTCAAATATACCGTCAGTTCGTAGAAGTTTAGAACTGACAATAAATTCAACTCTTCATTATAAAAACTATAAAAAAAGCAATTTATTAAATGTATATATATACATAATGTTGAATAAATGTCTTTATTATTATAATAATTCAATATAACAAATAGGTAAGATTTTAATAAAAAAAAATTTACAGATTTCTACAGTATATAACAGAAGTAAATCTCAATTTCAGTTCATCTGAAAATAGTGTTTCAAGCGTTCATAGGCTACGATAACCGTTTACCACCAGGGTTGTACACTTGATTGATATCATAGTAAAAAAAAAGTAGTTCAAAACAAGCAGTCGCTATTTCTTTTATGTAATTGGTACAGCAAACTAGCTGACCCATCTGATGGTAAGTGGTAACCGTCGCCAACACATCAACAGGATATCACATTATCAAGAGACGCAATTGATATAATTACTCATGAATATTGGTTGTCATTTCTGAGGACTAAGGTATAATACCTCCATATCCTGTAATTTCACTGCCCAATCTCACCTTTCAACCGATGTCCAATCTCACCGACCGAAACAGCTTACAAAGCAAGCTTATTGGCGGCTTAAATAGATGAGACTGAAGTATTCACACAGTATTAAAAAATCACACATTACAAAAATTATATCATTTTTGAAGTTGGTTTAATTCTGTTATATACTGTAATAAGCGAACGTTAATAAATCTTGATTTTTCATATAATAAAAAAACATAATCAATTTAAAAAAAATCAAAATGGCCAATTTAAAAATATAAATACAGAATAAACAAATGAAAAACCAAGATGTAAATAGTCAATTAAAGCACCCAAAAAGCGTTGTAATATGTTTATAAAGTGAACCATTGCAGTAGCCGCGTAGATATAAAAATTCTATTATTTTTATTATTAAATCGGCTAAACACACAAGCGCAAATCGGCAAATGGTATTCGCCAATTAATGTAGGGTAAAAGGGGGTTAAAATTACTGCACGTCAAACGGGGTGTGGAAGGAAATTGTTAGTAATTTGGACCGTTTTTTTAAATGTATTATAATGTAATGATGCACCCGCCTGTCCTAACGGTTTACGCTGGCGGGGCACCAGTGGAGGATAATATGAATGCTTTCATTAATTTTGCTTGCAATTTTCGCTTAATATTTTTCAAAAACTATTTAAATAGTGAGTACCAATACTTTTACAAAAGTCGTAACTAGTCTTTATAAAAATTTAAATTAATGTATTACTATTTACATTTAGTAATTAGTAATTGATTTTAAGATACTTTTTAATTAATGTTTGTTTACATTTTCTGTTAATTATACTGTAACTAACTACCTTCACATATGCATGTGGTACAATTCCCAATAGTTCATCTACTAACACTAGAAAAAACCTAATTATTCATATTTTGTATATAAGAGACAAAGATTTCAAAACCATACTAAATCTGTTCTAAAAAATCTCACGTACAGTAAGCCACATTATTAGCGTGTACGGGCCTTAAAAAATGCATTAGTGCGAAGCCGGGGCTAGTTTGGTATAAGGTGGACCTTTCGTTTGAGACCTTAAAAATTGACGAAAACACGTAGATTTTAATAAATAGGACAATAATGTGCAGAAGCATTTGATAGTGTGCAATAGCCTTTAGACGACAACCATTGACGTGCTGTCAATGTCAATCTGACGTATAACTAACCTTACGGAACAAGATGGCTGCCCACTTGTCACTTTGGCCAAAATTGCATGCATTTTGACATCTGTCACGCTCTAAAATATCAAGATTAACAATAACAATGTTAAATGTTAATTATACATTCGTTCGTTTTGTTACATGTACTGTATTTCATTTTTCCCAAACCCTTTTATTTATGTTTTTGTAATAAAAAAAAACAAAGTTTCGTTGATAAATACATAGATAATTATTATACAACAGAACAAGTCTATGGGTATGGAAATATACAAATAAAGTACTTATTATATTAATATTTAGTCAAATCAAAAGTACAAACGATGAAGTGGTTAGAAGAAGATAGAAAACGTTAATCCACGAAACAAAAAAACTCGTTTAAAATGAAAAAAAAAGTAGTTAGCTTTTCATCACATATTAATTATAGTTTTAAATACAAATATAATAAAAACGGGGATGTTACGAATCTCAGGAGATTACAGCTTGGGATTTTTCAAGAAGGTTATATTATAGTTCCTTAATGATCATGTAATGAAATGGACCTCAAAAAAACAGCTATTCGATAATATATCAATTTTGAGATTATATACATTCATTATCATTTATTTTTTTTAAATATGCAATAATTACCGTTATGCTTACTAAGATTATTTTTATACTACGTAGGTGGTAAAAAAGCATACGGCCATTTTGATGGTGAACAGTTGCCGTAGCCTATGGACGCCTGAAACACCAGGCGTGTGCCGACCTTTAAGAAACCTTGGGCCTGCTAAAGGAGAGGACGCTGGTTCGACGATCGATCGTTATATATCTATGATAACTTTGCAGTCCCTCTGGTAGCCACCCCCTACTTCTTTTGAAGATTTACCATATGATAAAAATAGAAACCTAAAACCTATAACATCCAGTCCATCAGGACCAGATCTACCTATAGGTTTTTTCCACAAGGTCCTGTGGTACAAAGGACCCCCAGCCCCAACGGACAGCAATAGGCGATATTTCGAAATAAAAAAAATCTAAAATATTGGAAAACGTTATCAAAGTTTGGGTTGATTGATTTCTGGGTTGGCCCTGATATCAATCAACCCATCGATGTGCATGTTTATCGAACGGAACGGGGAATTCTCCGTCGCTTGTTTTTGGTCGGTGTATTTTTTTAGTGGATTATATAATTAGGTAGGGCCCTAAGTTTTAGTATGCTAAATGTATGATCCGCCTTGCAGCCTGTGGACCCCTGACACGTATCCGTAACATCTCCGTTTCAGAGAAGTTAGTGTTCTCACCTGGCTGTCTTCGGTGGCGGTTTGTTTGTTTTCCCGAGCGCCGCAGCCTTCCTCGGATCGTATGATGCTCTCCGTTTCCACTTTTCTAACTCTTGCTTCTTTTGTTCTGTAATATACATACAATACTTTTATACAACCACAAAATGATTTCATTACAAAATCTTATTAATATAAAAGTTTGGAACTATGGATGGATGGATGTTACTCTTCCACGCAAACACTACCAATTAGTTTTATGTTACACTTTAGAGTAATATAGCTTATAGATCATAATACAAGTCGATACAACACATTAGCTATAATTTGAAAAGATGTTATGTAAATTGGGTGAAATATAATGATAAATTTCAAATAAATATAATGCAGACGATGGTGCACCAATCATCTAGTTATTAGTCGTATCAGAGAGAAAGAGAGACAGAGAGTGAGACAGGTAGATAGAGACAGCGAGAAAGAGAAATATAGAGACTCACCCATTTCATAGTGCTGCGCGCTCCCCTTGCTAACGTGACTCCTGTCGCAGTTTGGCAGGACTCCCACATAAGTCTTGCTGGGGTCCCGCCGCAGGAAGTTCTTGGGCGAACTCTCAGACTTGTACTTGGATATGTCGAGATACCGAGGCTGGATCTCCTTGGGCCGCTTCTGGCTTATTGAGGTCGTCGATGATGACATTGAATAGTCACCGCTGTACCTGTGGTGATACAAATAATAACTAGAGGTCGAAAGTCAACCATAATTAATGTAAATTATTTGTTTATTTATTTAACTTCAATGCACTCAATACAAAATACAGTCACTTAAAGTACACCTCAATATAAATCTTCCTCTTGAATCACTCTATCTATTGCTATAACTGAAAAATCCGTTGCGTAGTCTAAAAGATCTAAGCGAACAGACAGCTGAAGGGACTTCTATTTATACTATGTAAAGTTATCTTTACTGGAGAGTCAGTCGTGAGATATAAATTGACACAATTTTTTTTAACATCTTTGGCAAAAAGCAGAGGAGAGAGATTATTAATAATGGAGATGATGATGATGTTGATGATGACAGGGATGATGATGATGTCTATGATGATGATAATATATCTGGTGATCGTTACCTCTGTTTAGGCTGCGCAGGCGCCCTCTTCCCACCCGGATGCCGCATAACAACCGGCGCACTCTCCGTCCCGCTCTCGCCCTCCGTGTCACTAGTGCCAGTTGTCATTGAATTCTTCTCATGACTGAATATCGACGAATTCCTTGGACTGCTTCCGTTTGTCGTTGAATTCGTGTCACTGTCTAGGATAAAAGTTTTCCTCTTGTCTATGGCTTCATCCCTTTTAGGCAGGAAGTCTACATTGTCTTTGGTGGGGGTGACGTCGTCGATAATAAATGTTTTGCGTTTGTCGGCGTCGCGGCGTTTTGTTTTATCTGTTTGTTGGTTTATCTGAAAAGGCAAAATAGTATTATAAAAAACACGTCCAGACTTCGCGTAGATTTAATTACAGTAGGGAAGTCTATCCCTAAGTATACTTCATATTTAATATTATAAATGCGAAAGGAACTCTGTCTGTATGTCACCCTTTCACGCCAAAACTACTGAACCGATTTAAATAAATTTAGAACATAAAGCTAAACTCTAAACCTTGATAAAGGACATACGGTCCTTTTTAATACGAAAAAAAGGGTTGAAAGGGGAGATGAAAGGTTGTACGAAAGTATCGTCATTTGTAAATCTAGAAGTTGATTAAATATAAATAAATATGACATTCCAAGTTGTGACACAAACTTCCTTAAAATATTATCCAATACAATATATCTTATATCAGAATAACACAAAGGCTATAATTTAAAAGTAAACATTTAAGTTATGTGGAGAACCAAACCAATAGAAGGGTGCCGAGAGTTGAAAGAAATATTATAAGTGTTGTGGCTACACTTGTAATATTTCGGCATGACCCTACCACTCACTGATGAAACCTCAAAATCTAAACTACCTGAAAGTTGGTGATATAGTCCCTGGATAGCACAACTTCGTTGGTCATCGCCTGCCGTCTGAGATTCTCTCTGTTTGTCCTCAAGTCCAGGATATCGGAGTGCGTGGACGTGATCATCGGATCGACTGGTAGAGCCAGCATCTGGTCATCCTCCTCCGAGGAATACTCCAGGGTTTCTAGGTCAGCGATGTTGGTTGTGTGGAACGACTGCGAGCGATGTACTGGAGAAGAGTGGCTGGAAATATTTTTTTTTATATTTTATTTATTACAAAACACGGTAGACTTTGTACAAAATCGTCTGTATGTCGGTATCTCTGTCTATGTTCTATGCTGATTAGCTGCTGACATAATTTTTTAATGGGTGATAATGGAATGCACCCGCTAGTGGTGACGGTCTACGAATGATGCACCCGCAAGCGGTGATGGTCTACGCCGGCGGGGCATCAGTACATAATAAGATGAACATGAGTTCAAGTCAAGTGGAAACCATCATGAAAAATTCCTATTGTATTTATCACAGATGGGCTAACTGATGTGTCCTCGTGTTCATCTTATCATCCTCCACTGGTGGCGGTAAATTATAAACGAAGAAACTACCACGAATAGATATATTGATCGGAGGGGAATACCAAGATATAGCTATATGAAGCAGATCAAAAAAAGGTTGGAATAACTAAAGAGATTGATGGAAATCCTGAAATATGGCAAGAGCTCCAGCGTCTAGAGTGCGTCTCTTAAATTATGAATGAAGAGACTACCATAAACTGGATATATCGATCCCAGGGGAAAACCAAGACAGAGTTATATCAAGGAGATCATGAAAAAAGTTGGAACAACTAAAAAATTGATGGAAAATCGTGGGAAATGGCAAGAGCTCCAGAGCAAAAGTGCAACTCTTAAATTATAAAGGAAGAGAATACCATAAACAGGATGTTATTCGGAGGGGAAGACCAAGACACAGTTATATCAAGCAGATCGGGAAAAAAATTGGAACAACTAAAGAGACTGATGGAAAATCGTGGAAAATAGCAGGAACTTTCTTTAACAAGAGCGTGGCTCTTAAATTATGAATGAAGAAGATTACTATAACACAGGATCTATTATTCGAAGCATATGTATACCTGGGTGAACTTAGGGCATCCTTATTGTCCTGCCGCTTAGCCAACTGCTGGCGTTTCTTGCCCTCTTGTGCTGCCTTCATGGGGTCGTACGAAGACCGCTTCTTCCAATTGGAGAATTCGATTTCCTTAGTGGCTAGAGCTGATGATGACCGGTGTTGGCTTGGCTTCTTTTGCCCTGGAAACATTTAATAAATAGTACCTTCACAACTGGTGTACACGGGGTAGTCAAAGGTTTTATAACGATACAAACAATCATACTCATGAATACAAATGTTAACTACGGGCAAGGAATCGAACCTGCGACCATTAACGGTAATGCGGCGTGTTAAAAGGCTAGATCACCGAGGCCGCTAATATACATGTGGCAACTGTATGTAATTTTATTACCATTCACCCAATGCTTGAGTTTGTACCAAGGATAATTACTATGTAACATGTCAAATCGTGATATATGTTTGTACTTAGTTGCAATTAACAATATATGTAGTATATTTAATATTTTTCAACACACTTGCTCGTAATGTGGATCTAATTGTAATGGTTTTCGCAAAGCACCTCATATAACACGAGTTATAAACCCAAATAGTGAAGTTATATTATAACTGCACTATTGCCATTGGTACATTATGTGGCTCGAATGATACATGTTATGTGTTGATGGCTTCAGCAGATTACAGGATTGTAGAAATGATAGATTTCGCTTACTATCTTGAATTAGGTAAATATACTATTCATTACTAAAGGTGATTGGTTGAGTGAACAAAATGTTGCGTCGATGGATTAGATTTTTGAAGTCTGTGTCGTTATATAGTGGATTTAAATTGGATGGGTGTGCGCTCCAATCAAAACGCTCTTTGGCTTATATTATAGCTAATTTCGAAGTGACCACCGCGCGGCTCAAGTCATTAGGCAAAGCGTTGATTTAAAATAGTAAAACAGCGCGAAAGCAACCCGGATTTTTCAGTTTTAAGGTTGAATTTATTTAATATCTAGTGTGTTGAAAAACGTCGTATTTAACACTCTCTATATTACGCCCTCGCCTTCGTTTTGGGCTGAAATTCCGCCTAGTGTTTTATAAACATCATAACGCACTTATATCGTAATATACTATACTATTAAAGCGATATAATAATTGTAATAGTAACCCTGGACAATCCACACAGCGCCATCTAGTCCCAAGCTAATCAGAGCTTGCCTTATAAGTACTAATTGATATAAATACTTAAATATATTTTTTTGTATGACTATGATTTTTTTGTATCCAGACCGATGCGAATAATCAGACTCAAGAATAGAAATGTTTGCACCGTACGAGGAAAAGAACCCTACCATCGGATAGTAAGGCGGTGTGATAACTGCTAGACCACCAAGGCTGTGGATTAAATTAGTTACACATAAAAGGTTTTCAAAACTTACCTTTATCTTGATTTTTATTAGGTTGAAACTCCCTTGTGGACGATCTTGATTTAGTCAGTCTGTTCAAAACAGCCTGTCTCGTTGGTTCAGATATCCTGCGACTCTGGTGATTAGTCGGCTTCCCCCTCTCTTCCCTAGCGACAGGAGGCTCCGACATCCTCGTATTACTAACCCTATCTTTACTTATAACCCTACTGGAATTCCTAACCAGCCCTGGTCCAAATTTCCTCTGCATTTCCGGAGTATTGGGGCACCTTGGAGAGTTGGCCGGCGCTATTGACTTCAAATCAGGCGAATCTATCCTGCTTTTGACAGACCTCTTATATCTCATCTCTTGAGATTTACTGAACGAACCATTATCAGATTCATCTGATAAATAATCATCTTTATAATCATCTGAATGGCCACTGGATCTCCTAAACACATTTCTGGTTGGTTCCAAATAGTTGTTATTCCTGTTAACTGTATTAAATGAACTAGATCGCTTAATGGATGATCCAAACGCTATATTGTTAGGTTTCTTGCCGTCGCTTAATACTCTTTGATGCTTCTTGTCTCCTTGGCAACGGGTTTGATCAATCCGCGGATATTTCGCATCTAAGGCGTTGTTCTTAAGAACCGTTTTCAGACTAACAATTTGGTTTGCATTATTCACGTCTTTATACAATTCCGGAGCGTTTCTGGCGTCAACTGTTTTGTGGCGCGTATGACCTTTCCTGGACGGTGAAGGTGCAGGATTGAAGTCATACGCTGGTTTGTTGGACAATGTTTTGTCATCAGAACTATTACTCAAAAGACCTCTATCAGAACACGGACTGTTCATGTTCGAATCGCGTCCTTTCCGCCTTTCGGTGTCTAGTGATCGCGATGCGGAATTCAAGAGTATTCTAGTGCTTTCTGGAACTTTCGCGGAGCCAGTTATGACGTAATGTCCTGGACTTCTAAGTGGGCTGCTATCACTATACGTGTCTTTTCTTCTTAGACGATAGTTCAGTGAGTTTGACCTACTGAGCTGTGACACAGGAAGGCGTGAGATAGCAGTCTTCTCGCTGATGAGACTGGAGGTAAGTTGAGAGGGAATGTTCGAGAAATTATTGGTTCTTGATGATTGTAGTTTTGCCTGTAGATTTGTTATAGCGCTTTGTGTCTTCAACAAATAAGATTCAGTGTCTTGAACTGGAATTAAATCCTGAAACAATAAAACGGTTTGATTAATTACGATAATTAATTACAGAGGTCGTAGTGGTTAGTGGTTTACACCAAGTTATGTGTATTTATTATATGACCCTATTAACACACACGTTACGACTTAAAAATATAAAGTTACAAAGATTATTTAAAAGAGCAACACGCATGTTTCGTGCTCATTCTTCTTGGACAATGAGCGGTAGATTAAAAAAAAATGTGTAGACTATGCAAAAGTGCTTAAATTAAGTTTATTTGAATAAATGATTTTCTATTCTATGGACGCCATATGTTGCGAGTTCCAAAAAAATATATGTGCTGTTTTGCTGCCATAGACTTTAATTATGAACGAAAAACTCATAAATAATTTTGAGCAAAGTCTAACTGAGTCTATCTTAAGAATGAATTTATGAAGAAATTATGTATCAATACTATTATTATAAATGCAAGTCTCTATGTGTCTGTTTATTACATTTTTATAACAAATCTGCTGAAATGAAGGGGATATATTAGAGGATAATAGTTTGTACATAATAATAATAATAATCTTAGGACAATTCACACAGCGCCATCTAGACCCAAGTTAAGCTAGCTAAAGCTTGTGTTATGGGTCCTAGACAACTGATACAAATATAATACATAGATAATTGTTTTTCGTAAATACATATTATACATAGAAAATACCCAGACCGATACAAACAATCATACTCATGAATACAAATGTTTGTGTCGTTCGAGGAATTCGAACGTAAAGCGGTGTAAATACAAAGTAGCAGGTAAAATAGCTATTCCATACAAATATTATAAATTTGAAAATCTATCTGTCTATCTGATACCTATTAACGACAAAACGGCTGTACAGATCTTCATGAAATTTACCATGGGGATAGTTTCTATCACGAGGACGGACATAGGCTACTTTTATCTCAAGAAAAGCAGTCGAAGTCGCGTGTAACCGCTCGTTATTTATAAACATGTCATAACAAAAGCGCTTTGTGAAATATCTCGCGGAACTAAAGCGCGTGACCTCCAACATTAGTTACAAGTATTGCGTATTGTAATTGTTACGTTCTTGTTATAACAATAAGACAATAACAACTACCAAAATATGCAAATCTCCATTTGATCTGACATTGAGAAACCTCGTTTGTTCATATTGTGGTAATACGGCATTTTATATTTATGGAAAACGTGTGCCTTATATCAAGTGTACAAATATTTAACATCTGAAGATAATGCACACAGCGCCATCTAGTCCCAAGCTAACCAGAATTTGTGTTATTAGACTAGACTAGACAACTGATATAAATACTAAAATATATTTGTTATTCTAAATACATACATAAAAGACATAGATAACATCCAGATCGATACAAACAATCACACTTTTTTACACACATACTAGCTGTGCTCGCGGTTCTATGTGTTATTCTGCTGTATAAGCTATATTATTGTAAAGATTCATTAAAATACGTTCAGTAGTTGCGTGAAACAGTAACAAACATCCATCCATAGTTACAAACTTTCGCGTTTATAATATTAATAAGATTTTCACCGTGCGAGGAATCAAACCCGCGACCATCGGAACTAAGGCGGTATGCTGTACACTAAACCACCAAGGCCGTCAAATACATATATCTTATTGATATTATGAACGCGAAAGTTTGTGTGTATGAATGGATGTTTAATACTCTTTTACACAAAAACTATTGAACAGATTTTCATGAAACTCTACAGTAATATAGCTTATACATCAGAATAACATACAACAAAATTCCACGCGGGTGAAATCGCGGGCACAGCTAGTATATAATAATTCGCAAGTGCGTGTGTAAAGATCGTTTAAATTAATTACGAAACATTAGTTATAGCTACAGGAAGACTGCTAACTGGGTTGATGGCATGTAAAAAATCTCTAGCGGTTTGATGTATGAATTCATATTGTCAATTGCAGTGGTCAGTAGGAAATGAAAGCAATGCTTGCAACATAATACACTTGCTTATGCAACGCTATGAGAGGCTAGGACAGTATATGAAGGGAGGCATTATATAGTTTTTTATATTATATTACATTATATAGGCCCTTTGTATAGTTTATTTTATTAATTTTATTTGTCTGTCTATTGTTTTTATTATCACATTTTTTTTTATTATAAATATTATCTAGTACTTCAGCCGCGATTTGATACGGCCAAAGTTTTAATTGCTTAATGTGTTCCTTTGGAGGGGATGCTAAATTATCGATATAATACATATATATTATATTATATTTATATACGTACGTAAATGGATAAATATATATATATATATTTAATTCAATTTTTTTAGAATTTTATTAGGGGACAAACGTTTCTCACTGAGTAATAACATGAAGGAATACAGGGGAATAAGTACGTTGTCGGCCTTTTAAAAAGGAATAAGCTCTTTTCTTGAAGGTTTCAATATCGTATCGGTTCGGAAATACCATTGCTGGAAGGTGATTCCTCAATGTGGTTGCGCGTGGCAAAAAGTTTCTAGAATACCGCACTGTGGATGATCGCCTTTCATCCAGATGATCAGGATGGTATTTTAGTTTCTGGCGGGTGGTACGGAGGTGAAACTCAGCAGCTGGTATTAATCAGAACAATTCCTCAGAACACTCCCCGTGATATATGCGTTAGAAAATGCACAGAGAATATAATTAATGTTGTGATTTTGCATATTTTTATGTTTTGTTGACCTTTTTGAGGTTATTTACAATATGTTTAGCAATAGTGCAATGTGTAATTAATTTAATTTTATATTGTTTCGTAGCCTAACAATTAACCATCCTGACATGTGTTTAAGAATGAAATAAATAATTAAAGATAGAACCTTTATATAGCGGGGGGAAAGGATTATTAGTAACTAGCTACTCGCCCCGGCTTCGCACGGATGTACATGTATTACAAAAACCTGCCTCTGGAATCACTCTATCTACTAAAAAAAACCACTTCAAAACTCATTGCGTCTGAAAGTCTTGCGTGTGCGTTTTAAAGAGTTAAGCATACATAAAGACAGACAGACAGCGACAGCGACTTTATTTTACAATATGTAATATTGTGGATTAATGACCCAATTGCTAGAAATATTTATTTATTTATTTATTCATCCAAAACAATACAAATTGTGTAGGATAACATAATAGTATGGTGATGGTGATGATGCGGCTCGAATGCTCAGATGGTAGGTGGTGATGCGGCTCGAATGAATAGATGGTACTAGATGATGGCTTCAGCAGATTACGGGTTGTAGAAATGATAGAATTTGCTTATATTCTTCAATTTAATACGTAAATACTATTATAAAATAAAAATTTTTGACGACCTCAGTGATCTAGCGATCTAGCACACCGCTTTACGACTGATGGTCGCGGGTTCGATTCCTCGAACGGCACAAACATTTGCATTCATGAGTACGATTGTTTGTATCGGTCTGGGTGTTTTCTATGTATAATATGTATGTATTTACAAAAAAAAATCTATGTATATATATCAGTTATCTAGTACCCATAACACAAGCTTTAGCTTAACTTGGGTCTAGATGGCGCTGTGTGAATTGTCCTGAGATTATTATTAATTTTGGTGGAGTGAACGAAGGTACGTTAGATCGATCGGTTGATTTTTTAAAGTCAAAAGTTACGTATTTAAATTAAATGGGTGTGCGCTCCTATCAGAACGCTCCCTTAGTGTTGCGTTTTGTTGCTGCTTGTACGCGACAAGTAACATTACAGTAATTTTTTGTCAACAACATAATAGCAACTTAAATATTAAATGTCGGTGTCAGCTAGCATAGTGCAGTAGGTTTTTATAAGTCTTTAAAGTCATCATTATAATAGTTATGCACGGAATAGTAACACTTATTCAATAAAAATAAAATAAGATCAAGTTGACATGCGGTAACCATCTTGTTAAATTCCTAGTGAATTTGCCACGATGGGATAACTAACCTGACCTCATGCTCATCTTATCATCCTGCATCCTTAATAATATGAACTCAAGACCCCATTATTAGCAATGTACCATAACAGGTTGACCTCCACGCGGTTTCTCCTGGATACCATTGTGATAAATTCTTGGTGAATTTTGATAAAATGGGCTAACTGACCTGACCTCATGCTCATCTTATCATCCTCTACTGGTGCCCCGCTAGCGTAAACCGTTAGCGCAGGCGAGTGCACCATTCCAAAATATTGGTAAGAAAGTACGATATATATATATATATATATATATATATGTATATATTAAATACCCGTCCGACGCCTACATATATAAAGTGCTATAAACATTTGTGGACACGATCAATGTCAAGTTGAATCTACAAGAGCATCAGGTACACCCAAAAACGGCAAGCTTGACTTCTGACTCACATTGACTCATTGATGTATGACATCATATTGTTGACCATACACTTGTATGGTTCACACAACTTGTATGGTGACGCGGCATGAGTAAAAACAAACAGGTGGAGTTCCAATTTTATTTGCGCTATTATAAATACACATTTTCTATATCAGAATACGTAGAATAATAATAATAAATACGAGTAACTCTGGACAATTAACACAGCCCCATCTAGTTCCACGGTAAGCAGTGTGGTTATGGATACTAGACAACGGATATAAATACTTCAATATATATATTTTTTGTAAATACATACATAATATATATAGATAACACCCAGAGCGTTACAAACACTCATACTCATGAATACAGATGTTTGTACCGTGCGAGGAATCGAACCCGCGACCATCGGAAATAAAGCGGTGTACTAAACCACTAAAACACCGAGGCCGTCATTGAGTTTTAGTTTCGCGAAGTAGTTTAGGATGCCAAATATGTTTTGTTGGTATGTATGTCACCGCAGAACTGTGTCATAATACGGTTTAATCGGTCTATCAAAAAGGCGGGTGGAATTGTCGCCAAGGTCAAGTGAAAGTGTGAGGTCGCTGTCACACTTGTGACAATTGCAGTTATTTATTTGCCG